ATGTCTCAGCAGTCTGTCTGCTGACTTCATTACAACCCACCAGAACTGCAAACCCTCAAAACACCCAACCATCCACAACCCCCGAAAACTTTGGCTTCAAACTTCACAGCAGCCAGACCGTGACAACATTCCCAAGCCACAAGCACGGAGCCGCACTGGTGCGCTTTCGACCACAGTTGGGCCAAGGATTCCAGATGCAGCGCTGACGTAGTGTAGGTAAGGGGGCTATGTGGGGATTGAGGGTTGGCTTTCAGGCTTCGGGTCCATATATATATATATGTATATATCTGTAGAAATATAGAAATATCTGGGGATGACCTAGGGCAGCATATATAGGGGACACAGCGAAGTGAGGGTTTAGGGTGTAAAGTTCCTCAAAAGCGCAAACGTCCCGAAGAATCGCACGATCATAGGCATTCCCAGCGTAACCAACCCTAAGAATTTGGCCTTACAGAGCCGAACCAACTCCTGGTGATGTTGATGCTAACCTCAGCTTTTGGAGGCGATAGTCCGGCGCAGCTTCAGGTGGAGCACCATGCTTGGGACTCGGCCCAGCCCTTCGCAGGTCCAGTCCCGGCCAGAAGCTCACAGCCTTGGCAACTTACCATGCTTCACCTCACCCTTGAACGATGAAGCACCAGGTTTACAGCCTGACTTCCATGATCTGTCCAAGCCACACAGCCGATTCTCAGCGAGATGGACCTCTCTCACCAACGCGCCTGTGGAGAGGCGATCACTGTAGGCCTGGCAGGCAAGCTAGTCACATGCAATCGGGTCTCCATTGCGGAAGGCCACGCAGCAGATGGCCTCTTGCTTTGTGTATACTCTCTTGTGAACAGCCCACACTCCCACGCCTTGGTGGTGAGGCCTTGCCCTTCTCGCACCAGGATTCCACCTGGTTCACAATGACAACCCTTCTAGACCTCTAGGCCATCTGCTCATGTATCCCCATGAGTTCCATTCAAGGCTACGGCCAGCAGTTGCACGACCAATGACGCGCCATTCGGCCATGGCGGGCAGCAGGTTTTAGCTCTGCCTATTCTTCCACCAAGGCAGCCTGGTAAGAGCTGAGCCAGATGCATCCACATGCGGCATTGTTTGGCAAAAGACGCGGATCTGCGCACAGTGGCTACTCCATCAGGCTGAAGGCCTTTTTCCAAAGCCTCTTTGAGGCTCTGATGTTGCTGTTGTTGCTCTTCTTCTTGTTGCCGCTTCTTGTTGTTTCTCTTGTTGTTGCTCTTGTTGTTGCTCTTGTTGTTGCTCCTGCTCTTGCTCTGGCTCTGGCTCTTGTTCTCGCTCTGGCTCTGGCTCTGGCTCTGGCTCTGGCTCTGGCTCTGGCTCTGGCTCTTGCTCTTGCTCTTGTTGCTGCTGCTGCTGCCGCCGCCGTCGTCGTCGGGCGTTGTTCTTGTTGTTCTTGTTGTTCTTGGTTGGTGTTGCTCTTGCTGTTGCTCCCCTGGTCGACACGGGGCACGCCCGGCTGTGGGCGACAGCCCTTTAGATACACATACAGACACACTATATATGTATATGTATATGTATATATATATACATGTATATATATATACATACATACATACATACATATACACATATATACATTTATACATAGATAGATAGATAGACATACATCTACATATGATATGGATATATATACACATATATACATATACCTATCTATCTATATGTGTATGCAAACACCTACATATATATATATAGACACACACATATATATATATATATATATATCAAATACTTGAGGGCCGAAGGCAGGGAGGACGAAAGCTCGGGGGCCGGAAGCAAGAGCAAAGCTGCAAGAGAAAGTGCGGGCAGGGCCCAGTTGGAGGCATGCTTGAGGGGCCAGCGTCTTCTTTTCAGCCGTCGCAGTGTTGGGTAGATACTAGCTTCTTGCAATCAACTAGCTTGTTGCAATCAACACATCACTAGTGGGCGGCGACGCATGTTGTGCTGGGAGCCTCACTCACGCGCTGCGGTCAACACGCGACGGAGTCAGGTCTTGACGTAAAAAAGGCCTCCCTTTAAGGTATTGATATATCAATTTACCCCCCCCCCCCCACCCCCCCCCTCCAAAACCAGGGAATTCGTGTGATGTATCAATTTACCCCCCCCCCCCCCTCCCCCCCTCCAAAACCAAGGAATTCGTGTGATGTATCAATTTACCCCCCCCCCCCGGCACCCCCCCCCCTAATAAGATAGTATCAATAATACGCTGTTTTCTGGCCGTGGTCGGCCCCCTGCTGCTAAAGCAGATAAAACTCCAGCTTCGCTACGCGAGCTTTCGTGATATAGACACATATATATATATATATGGTACCCCCCCCCGAGTTATCCACACCTTTTCTGCTTGTTTTGTGCTTTTCTTGTTATGGCACTGCGTATTTCTTTTTTCGTTCGTAATTTGTTTTCTTTGAGAGACGGTTCTAGAGTGCATAGTGTACTTAAATTTCAAGGCCTCAATGGTCAAGCGCGATGAGGGACAAGGAGTATTGAAGTTCAATGCTCCGGATTGAACTTCAATACTCCGGGATTCAAGATTCAAGATTCAAGGTTCCCGGGAAAAGTTCCCCCGGGATCTTGAATCCAGGGTCCCGAAGTATTGAAGTTCAATCCGGGGTATTGAACTTCAATACTGGGGACCCTGGATTCAAGATCCCGGGGAAACTTTTCCCTGGAACCTTGAATCTTGAATCTTGAATCCCGGAGTATTGAAGTTCAATGCTCCGGATTGAAGTTCAATACTCCCGGGATGCAAGATTCAAGATTCAAGGTTCCCGGGAAAAGTTCACCCGGGATCTTGAATCCAGGGTCCCGAAGTATTGAACTTCAATCCGGGGTATTGAACTTCAATACTGGGGACCCTGGATTCAAGATCCCGGGGAAACTTTTCCCTGGAACCTTGAATCTTGAATCTTGAATCCCGGAGTATTGAAGTTCAATGCTCCGGATTGAAGTTCAATACTCCGGGATTCAAGATTCAAGATTTAAAGTTTTTAGGGAAAAGTTTCCCCGGGATCTTGAATCCAGGGTCCCGAGTTTGAAGTTCAATCCAAAGCCTTAGGGCTTTTCGGAGATTATCTCTAATCCCCTGACGGGGTTACCTCTATAGGGTTTAGCCCTATAGGGTCCAAGCTTTAAGAATTACCCGAAACCCTTCAGGGTCAGAACCCTAAAACCCTTGAGGGATCTAGAGATTGGAAGGCTGCAGTCCTAAATGTGCTGAAACCATAATTAGACTATTTAAATGGGCCGGGCCGTTTCCCAAAATACCTATTTTGTTTCAAAATTTCAAGGATTGGAAGGAATGTACGGATTGTTAAAAAATCAAAAGGGCCGGGCATTTCCCAAAAGAAATTATTTTTCAAGATTTTACGGATTTTAAAGTATCTAAGTGGCCTTTTACATTCCTTAACATCCTTAAAATGTTGAAAGCCAGAGGCCTCTCAATATTTTAAGGAGTTTACAGGGTTTTCAAGAATTGAAGGGTCTTTGTAAATTCTTTAAAATCCTTGAAGCTTTAACAGGGGAAAGAGAAACATCAAATAGTACGTAAAGGTGAGTCGTACACAGGGTTATAAGGTTCTCATCCTATAGGTAATACCTCAACCTTAAACCATAAACATGTGAACCCTATAGGCCTATAGGGTTTAAACCCTATCGGGCTAACCCCGTGAGGGCTTTAGAGATAACATTTTTGGGTTTTAAAGGTTTAAAAGACTAAGGTCTGGGCATGTATACCTTCAGAGCCTATAGGGCTACAACCTTTGAGGCTTTTAGAGCCCCATAGGCTTTCAGGGTTCTGACCCAAAAGGGCTTGGGATTTAGATTCAAATGCCTAAGCCGTAAGCCCTTACGGTTTATCTCCATGGGCTTATAAACCTTTAAGACCCCTAAACTTTTGAACCCGATACATGGTGTGGGCACTTATTCTGCTTATTCTTTGCATTTCCACCAAGCCCTAAAAAACAGAGGCATAACCATGTGGGTTTTAGGTTTAGGGAAAAAAGCCTCAAGCCTGATAGGGTTTTTCAGGCTCTAATCCTACAGGCAATGCCTAAACCTAAAGCCCCAAACTGTTGAACCCTATAGGCCTATAGGGTTTAAACCCTATCAGGCTAACCCCGTGAGGGCTTTAGAGATACCTTGAAAAACCCTAAAACTTTAGACTTTATGGGATTTAAAGGTTTGAAAACCTAAGGTCTGGGCATGTATACCTTCGGCGCCTATGCGGTTAAAACTTTTCAGCCTTGTATAGCCCTATAGGCTTTCAGGGTTCTGACCCTAAAGGGTGCAGGTTTAGATGCCTAAACCGTAAACCCTTAAGGTTTAAACTCTATAGGCTTAGGTTTAAATACCTAGATCCTAAAATCTTCAAACCTAATAACCGTATAGGATTAAAGGTTAAGGGTTTAATTGCTTAACCTTGAAACCCTATGGATCTAAAGGTTCAGGTTCAGGTTTAACCCTAAACCCTATCGGCTTTAAGCCCTAAACCCTATAGGGTTTCGGTGCCTCTCTTTTTATAAGACTTAAACCTGAACCGATAAGGGGTTTAGAGATTTAGCCCTGAAAAAAAGCCTTTGCAAAAAAACAGGGAGCGCAGCGGAGCGGAAGGGAGGGGAGGGGAGAAGGTCGCTGCGCCCAGTGTTTGGACAGATGGAGAGGACTCGACATCTCAAGGATTGCATGCATTTACGTTATGTAGGGGATTGGGCTATTGGAGGAGGGGGGGGAGTTCAGGGGTCACCGCGGCCCGTGAACGATCTAATTGGCTCGCAACCACAAAAAGCGTGGATAACCACAAAAAGCGTGGATAACCACAAAAAAGCGTGGATAACCCGGGGGGGGGGTAGCATATATATATATATATATCAAATATATATATATATATATATATATATATTACAACACACCAACAGATTGTAATTACAACAGACCAACAGACACATAACAAGAGATCCCGTCTCGAGTGAAGGTCCAGGAGCCTTCAGGGCCACCTCGGCCCATGGCCTTCCACTCGGTTCCGGCTCAGGGGTTGGGCTTTTGGTGATTCGAAAGGGTCGCTGTTTGTTTGGTGTTATTGTTGTTTTTTTTTTTGTTTGGGGGGGGGGTGGGGGCGGGGCGGGTCTTCGCGATTCATGGCTTTGGGTGGGGGCAACGATAATAAAATATAGATAGCCACTCCTCCACTCTCCCCCGAAAACCGCCTAAGCCTTCAACCAAAACCCCATTCGTCAGAGAGATGGTGTGTTCTCTAGTTGTACGTGCTCTGATGAGAAGGATCGTATTTAGGTTTAAATCAGGGGTACCGCCCTAAACCCTTTAACCCCCAGACCCCGAAACCCCCAAGACCCCCTTCGCCAAAGAGATGATGGGCCTGGTTCGCTCGAGGCAGGTTAGAAGAGACCTGGTCCAGAGCTCGCTTCTCTTTGCTCCGCGTGTTGTTTACGCATTATATGTTTTGGTATTCGTCGGGGGGTGGGAGGGGGGGTGTTGGGGCTGGCCAGGGAGTTTGGGCTTCGGCAGTTTAGGGTTTAGGGCTGCGAAATTTTGGGCTCCGGAACCCACATCCCTCACACTGGGCCGGCCGGCCCACGGGACAGTTGCAGCTGGCCGCCCAGTGAGCGGAAGGTCTGGTCAAGCAGCGCGCGATCGCCCTGGGAGGAATACACCCTGAATGACCACCCTTCCCTCGGTGGGATGCTAAAGCCGCCTCAACCCAAGCCCAAAAGCCCAAGCTACTTGGCACTGCTCCACCTTGACCTCCAGGAACACAGAGTAGAAGTGCAGCTCGAAGATCTGAAGGGATGGGCGGGCAGAAATAAAGGTGCCTTTTCTTTAGAACTGGCAGGAATTATGCTCCAATGGACCCCCAAAAGGCCCCACATTTTGATCAACCACAATGTGTCCAATGTGTCAGTCTCAGGCTCAGAGAGCAAGCTGCGAGCAAAGGTGCAGAAGCGCTACGACACCCACTGCACAAGGGCCATTGAGGTCCTCCCACACGAATACACACGCGCGCGCACACACACACACACACACACACACACACACACACGGACGGACAGAGACGAGGTTAGGAAATCGTGCCACTGGAGAGCCCTTGAAGCTGTTGAGCTGATTTTCATGCCCTGGACTCTCCGCTAAAATATTCCACGCCTCATGGCACTTCTGTTCGAGTCTGTCTACAGCATCTTGCCAAGACCTAGGCAGCCACTCAAGACATCGAAAGGGCCAAGAGGGGGCACCTCGTCCAACGTTCAACAGCCAAACCTAAATCCATCTAAATCCTAAAACTCTTCGGAGGGCACTGTAGCTATGCTCGGGCTAGCATCTTTGGGGAGCGGCATGGGGTCCCATGAACACGATGGACTACCTTTGTCCCCTCCAGGGCCTGAAAGGGTGCAGCGCACACTTCTCAGTTGGCAGGAAGCCCCTCATCAACAGGTACAGCCCTGTTTCGGGCCCATTAGTTATCGCAGAGGAGAGCTTTGGGCTTTGGGAAAGCCACCCTATGTATAGAGCAAGCTTCGGGGGCTTCCTTGCCAATTTAGGGGCCAACTTTCAATAGGAGCCCCAACTTAGCGACTTAGCCTGTGTTGCTTGCTGGGTTCGCTGCTGGAGCAGTTCCGGCCCCAGGTCCTGCGGCAATCAACTCCCAAGCCTGGACTCTTGGACCCTAGCACAAAGCACTGCGGCACTGCAAGAATAATAGCATAAGGGGTCAGCTGTTAATTCGGGGGGACTCTAGTTAGCCCTAAACACCCTCCAACCCCCTTAACAAAAAAAAACGAAAAAAACTCAAGGCCCACTTTCAGCTTGAAGCGCACAGCGAAAGTCGAAGCCGCACGCGCCCCAAACCCAGGCGCCTGGACGCCTTCGGACCTTGGACCGAACTCCCCAACCCCCGTCACGAAGGAAACTCTTGTTAAAATCTAAAGCGGATCCAAATATGATTTGAAGGAATATTCCTGAGATGCTCATAAGGATCCTGATATGGTTTATGGTTTCAGGAATCGTCATTGACTTGTAGTAGGGATCCAAATGTGATCGGTGGGAGATTCCTGCAACTCTAAAAGAGATCCAGCTCTGGTTCAAGGAATACTCTCTTGATTTAAGCAGGTTGGGAGTCTCCTAAGGTTTTGGGGCTTCAGGGTTGAAGGCTCAGGGTTTGGGGGAGGAGGAGGATCAGGGGATGTCAAGAGCAAAAAACCCCAAGTCTTGGAGTTGCAAGAGGGGTCTCTTCCAGCTCTTTGTGAGGGTGTTTGCTCGGGAACCTCACACCCTATGAAGCCCCGTGAAAAACTCCAAACCCTTCTCGGACCAAAACACACCGCACCCAAAGAACCGAACCCCAGAACCCCCAACAACCCCCAAAACACTTCTGCCGAGACTACGACTGCGCCGCAGCGAGGCCGCGCTGAACGGCCTGGCCAAAGCGGCGGACGAGGCCCTGAGCAGACCGAGCAGTGCGCGGAGCTGGGGCTCAGGGGCTGAGAGAGGGGGTTTTGGGGAGGGTTTGGGGGGGACGCGGTTACCATGTGATGTACTCTATAACTATCATATTCTTCTCATCATCCTATATTAAGATAAACATTGAGTTTTGGTGTTGTACTGTGTTTGTGTTCTCACAATATCGCAATATTTAGGGCAAAAAACAAGCAGCCCAGGTTGGGACGCAGAGGATTCGACGAGACTTAGCATGTTTTGCTTCTCCAGGGCCTCTTCCGTGTGGTTGGACAAGAAGAACTCCAGGCTCCTCTCCAGGGGAAGATATCTGAGATGTCCCCCATGTTTTTTAAGCGCTTTAGAGACAGCCCTTCGGATGCCAGCTCGTCCTCTCCACATCTGCATACGGCCTCAAGAAGTCGATGGCCACGCGGGCCGCCTCGAGGCTGAGTTGAGTTGGATTCATGAGAGTTGGATTTCAGGTTCCGAGCAGCCGTGGAGCAGCCGTGAACCCAGTGATTGAGCCTGGCTAAAGAACTTGAGCCGGAATCTGGGGACGGCTACTCATCCTCCAACTGACCCAGGAGCAGCCAGCATTCAGGAGTTTGGGAGTAGTAGAGGCAGCTAAGCGCGGCTTGTAATCGCGACAAGCAACTGTTGCATCTTGACATCAAAATCAACATACCAGCACGTGCAGATCCGGAAAAGTGAGCATCATGAGCATCGGAGTCGTTGAGACCGCCTCGCACTTGCGAAGCTCGCTGTGACCTATTTCGCCAGGGTCCGTGCTGTGTGGCCAATCCGGAAAAGCGAGCATCATGCGCATCATCGATTTCCTGATTCGCCCACGCCTTGTCCGTCAGACTCTGTTCCAATCGCACTTCCCTCCCCGACGATGCAGAGCCGCAAAGGTGCCGAAAGAGAAGAAATACAGCTGCGACGAGATCAACAGCCATTCCTGCAAACATCACGACAGCGTCGACTGACATCAAAGCGCAGGCCCAGGCCCTCAGCAAAACAACCATCCCTGCCTTGCGAGCCTCTTCGGGCACAGCCGGCAGGGTCAAAACCTGAACAACTCTTTCTTCTTGATTTCAGCAAACAAGGGCTTGTGGTGGTCTTGCCCGCATGAGTTGCATTCTGGGCTCCCGGTTTCGGCTCAGGGTGCTGGATCTGGAGCTGTTTGAACGCAAAAAAAAGCATGGGATTTCTAAGCAAAGAATCCCAGGGGCTCCAGAACAGCGAGGCTCTCGACTCCATGCTGCTCAAGATTAGGGTGCGGAACCTGGTCATACCCTGACACTACCGTATATGTGTATATGTGTACATATAAAAAAATCTAAATCCCAATCCCTTTTCCGTGCGATTATGGTTTCGGGGTTAGTGCATAATCGGAACCAGAATCGACGGTTCAGGGCCTCTACCCGGAACCAGGATCGACACGATTATGGTTCAGGTTCAGGGTTTAGGGAACCCGGAAACAGAATCGGGCCTCAACCCGGAACCATGATCGACACGATTAATTTACTTAATGTTTTGGGGTTTTTGGGCAGGCAGGTGACTCGTGAATGCTTGGACATGAGATGCTGAACCCTAAGCCTTAAACCCTAAGCCCTAAGCCCTAAACCCAACCCCATAGTCGGCGTGGCCTGGCCAAACTTCTGGAGAACCGTGCAGAAATCTCGCATGAAAGGACGGCAGTGTAAGTCCTCCGGCGACTTGGGCGGCTCAGGAGTTTCGTGTTTAGGGCTTGTGCGCTGTGCAGCGGAGCACCACTCTTTCGCTCAGGGCGACTCCCCCCGTGCCTTCCTGACATCTCACCCCGCAAGCTTTCCTCGGCTCCCTCAAAACCTGTAAAACTGCAAAACCCTGCAAAACTTTGTACAAACACTGCAAACCCTGAACCCCGAATGCCTTGCACCTTTTTTTGGAGCTTCTCTTGCTGCCATTGACGGCTTTTGGGCCTCTTGGGGCTTCTGGGCCAAAACTTCTGTCGCTTCTGTGCTTTTCGGCTTCCGGCGCATACCTTAGGAAGGTGGAGGGCCACAATCCATGTGTATATCTGTGTGTGGCTATGTATGATTATGTATAAACATGCATATATATGTGTATATACATATATGTATATATGTATATACATATGTGTGTATCAGGTTCGTAAACCGAGCGACACTAAGCGACATTATGTCAACTATTGAACTGAGCTGGGGAGAATCGAAAAACTAGTCTCTCATTCAACAAAGTCAATGATGAGCATTCATCCAAGTGAAGCCAAGGGACACGGAGCTGACGCAAGGTAAAACGGACGAGCGGGAGGCTAAATTCTTAGAGGAAGATAGCTCTCTCTCTCTCTCTCTCTCTCTCTCTATATTCGTGCACACATGGTAACCCCACGTGAGCGCCCTCTCCTGGCACAGCTCCACGAGCTCCCCTTGAAGCGCTCTGGCCTCCCGAAGCGGGGAGAGTGACTGGGGGGGGGGTCTAGGGGAGCTCTAGGACTTTGGGCTCTAGGACTTTGGGTTGAGACCTCTCCACCAGCAACCAAAGACAGGGGGCTGATCAGGGATTGAGAGTTTGTAGCAAAATTCTACCCTTCTCCAGCTGCAGTCACGTCTGAAAGCGTGATTCTGAGTCCCGTGTCAACCTCAGCATCATCGGGGCTCGGAGGCCTCGGCATGTGGAGCTGCGCGCTGGGGTTCCTACAGTAAGGATTAATAGCATGTTGGGGGGTGCATTGAGGGGGTACACCTGCTTTGGGAAATACATGCATCTGCAGACTCTGACAAGGGCCCTGCCTGACTTTCGAGGGCGCTGTCGTCCCTGGGGCCAGAAGCAATCACTAAAGCGTAAACGGAGCCAGATGCACAACACTGAGCTCTGAATCGTGGTCCCAGCCTCCATTCCAGCCGAAGAAATTAATCATCTTGCGGCACTACCGGCCTGCCATCCATTGCAATGGCAATCGAGTGCCAAGTCTGACAATGCTGCTTAGCATGGCTCCAACTCTTGCATGGTTGCGGCAGAGCCCCAGCGGCTTTGTGCCCGCCTCGTTCTATGCATGCTCCACATGGGTGGCCTCACACGAGAAAACACAAACTAGGTTCAGTGATTGTTGGTGTCATGGGTTGATGCCTCTGGGCCCCCTGTGTAGGTGGCTCCCCACAAACAAAGGGGCCTGAAATAAGAATGGGGGCTTGAGCAACAGACCGCCTGAATCACAGGCTGCAGCCAAACACCCCAGAACCAAAACCAAATAATATGATCTCCTGGAAACTCACACCACACGAGATCCCGCGAGCAAGAGAGCTCAGATAGAATCAAGCGTTTTTCCTGTCGTCACCACAGAGGGAAGGAAAGGGATCCGGAGGGATTCGTTTGGGGGTGTGAGGGCGAGACGGCCTGCAACGACATCACAGTCGAATCAAGGCGCGCCATAGGGGGCGCATGCTCTAAGTGTGCAAAAAAAATGGGGGCTTTGAGGCTGCAGGGTGCTACAAAGTGCGAGGTAGTGGTGCTCGGGGTATGATGGCTTCTGGCTGCGATATAAGACATGGGTCATCATGCCACTGTCTCAACATTTGTGTATCAGACCGTGCTGAGGAGACAAACGGCCACGGATGTGTTCGCAAGCTGTCGCTGTCAACAGCAGTCCCATACCCCTCGCAAGCTACCTCTCGCGACGGCTACTGGTGTTCGGAGCCTCGGATGATCATGAGCTCTCCCGAAAAAGACCCAACAACCCAAAAAGACCTAAAACACCCCCAACCCCAAAAACCTCAAGAAGGACTTCGAGAAACTCATCTCACACTTTGAAAGACCGAGGGGGCCAGAAGCCACAACCTGTTAGTTTAGGGTTCTAGGGTTATGATAATTAGTTAATTCCTGTATAAGACACATATGGCTGCAAGTTTAACAAAAATAAGTAAAACCGAAAAAATCAAAAACAAATCAAAATTAAAATAAAAAATAGGCACCAAAAAAAGAAAACAGATCAGATAAAAATCAAAAAAACGAAGAAAAATATCAAATAAACATCAACTCAAAAACAAGCTGGAAGTTTCGGGGTTGCGGAAAAAAACGACAAAACATACAAATAAGGGAGGCTGGAATGCCCGCGGCCCGAAAACGAATAAAACAACAAACAAAAAACACATAACATTAATAATTACAAAAATCCAAATGGACTGGAATTCCTGCAGGCCCGGATTTGCCCCCCACCCCGCCGCCCCGCGGATTCCAGGCTACAGCTTTAACTTATTTTTTGGCACTGCGTGGGGACGTCCAGCCTACCTTCTTTTCGATTTCGTTTTGATTTGTGTTTTGATGTTTGTCACCCCGGAAACTCCACCCTACTTTTTTTCGATTGTGTTTTGTTGTTTTGTTATTTCGATGTTTTCGATGTTTTTGCTTGTTTTTTCGATTTTCCGCTCCCCGGGAATTCCCAGCCGACTTCTTTTTGACTTTTCAACTTTCTTTTGATTTGGGAAGTCATCTGTCATATAAGGAACCAGATATCATGATTCTAGGGGGTTCCCTCACGTGAACTTGCTGCATGCACCTTTGTCTCGAGTCGCGCGCCGCACGCGCAACTGTGCCACCGCTTGCCTCGCTTGCCTGTGGAACCTGGCAAGCGATGCACAGGGCACCCTCGAAGTTCCGAGCCTGTCCCTCTGAAGCGTTCCATTTCATGGAAGGTCCCGACTTTTTGCTGGTGTGCCTCTTTCTTTCAGAACAGCAGCCCCAAGCATGAGCGGACCGAATTCCAAGGATGGCACCGAGACGTGACCGACTCGAACTCATCGGTGGGCACCTGTCAGTTCAGGATTTATAAGTGGCTGAGCTGTTTGGTGGAGCGGTCATGGAGGTTTCTGGTGGTGTCGGTGGGGGCGCGAGGGAAGACGACTCGAAGAACCGTAGCACCAGAGAGCAGAACTCCCAAAACCGAAAAACACAGAACCTTAACACCCAAACACCCTGGACCCCTAGGCCCTAAGCCCTACCAGCACATCTGTAAAGCCATGGCACTCGGCACAACTGCCAGCTGTGCGTCGCCTGTCGGAGTTTCTACGGGGGGTCTCAGAGGGCTTCTGGGGAGGGTACCCTCGAGGGGCCCCCGTATCGACAAGCTTGACCCAGCGACGAGACTTTGGTTTGAAGGGTCGGCCCCGTTCTGTTGGCTTTAGCGCCAGGTCTCAAGCTACGCAAGGCACGCCCTCCCCTCCGAAAAACCGGCGATCCCAGCCAATCCCAATCCGGGCAAGCGGGGTGGTCCACGAGCCAGCCACAATAGCACTGTTTGGGCCCCTACATTTAATGTCCTGGCAACCTGGCTCGGGATTTCAAAGGCCTGGCCTCTTGGCTTAAGGCTGGCCTCTTGTTTCAAATTTTACAAATTTTAAGGAGGCCTTGCTCTGAAACGTACTGAATGTTTTTGATGTGAAACTCTGACAGCTCGAGGGAAGAAAGCTGAAGCTCAACCAGACCCTCCCAAAGACCTGGAAAAAACCCTTCTTTTTGTGTTGGGCGGGGGTAAGGGGGGGGGTTGAGCTTCGCCAAGCCTCGGCATCGGATGCACGGGGATCCTGCATGCAGCGTCCCAAGACAAGAGTACTGTAGTTCTCCGAGTTGCTTTTGGGGCAAGATGCTGTGACAAAATAGTGCAAGGGCCTGAAACGGCATCCTGATTCTGAGAACTACTACTCACAAGCCAGTGGATAGCTACACTCAAGATGACACGATTCACTGCGAAGTCGTCAGCGGCATCGTGATGACATGTATGTTGATACGTGGGCTGCGAAGACAAGTTGCCAATGGGAGGTGCAGCCGTCATGGCTCGGAGGGAGGAGAACCACGTTCAGTGTCGTAGCGGCCGCTGTCATTTTTGACAAACAGCACAAATTAGAGAGCCAAAGTCAACATAGCGGCCATACAAGTGGGCCTCGCCCACGCGGAAGCTTGCGGGGGCTGGGAAGACAACCACGCTTCCATGGCTGATGCCGTAGATGCTCCTTGGCTCGTGCCCTCCATGGCCCTAACCGTGCCTTCAGCCCTTTAAACATATTCCTACTTCAGTCGGCTTCTACGCAGACCGCTACAAAAGGCGTTGGGGCTCGAATCCCAGACGCACTTACTCCTATCAATGGACATGTTTCTTTCGCCACACCCCCCCCCCGACCGAAAGGTCCCGCTTCCACATCCCCCAAAACCCCCTCTTTCTTTCTTTCTCTCTCTCTCTCTCTCTCTCTCTCTCTCTCTCTCTCTCTCTCTCTCTCTCTCTCTCTCTCTCTCTCTCTCTCTCTCTGTCTCTCTCTCTCTCTCTCTCCCCCTCTCCCTCCCTCCCCCCACACGCTTAGCCCCCCCGAAGGGAGCTGCCCCGAGGGGCACGTAAAGTCCGGGCCTGTTGGTGAGAACCGACACATCACCTCCGTTTCCCATCAAAATAGAAGAAGAGTGCGCCGAATGTAGCCCCTATTCCCCAGAGCCAACCAAGTTGCACAGACTCCGCGTTGGGCGCGGCGTTGCAAACTTGAAGGAGCCCTCCATACAGGAACGCGCGGGGATCCCCGAAGGGGCTAAGAGGCAGGTGAAAGGGCGAAATCAGGAATCCTTGTCCAAAGAAAACAAGAAGAAGAGCTCGCTCAACACAAGGGCGTCACCACGTAGGTGACGCCAATCGACCGGGGCTTCACGATTGGAATGCGCCCAGTAGGGGTCGGCTCATGGCCTTTCCCCAAAAAGCGAGACAACAAAAAGGAAAGAAAGACGAAACCCTGCAACCCCATCCCCCCCCCTCCTCCTCCCAACCCTAAATCTCATCCCCCGGGAGGCCCTACAAACTCTCAACACGCGACGAAAGCTAGCCCTCCCCCCCCCCACGCCTTGCCTTTCCCCTTTCCCCGGCCGCGTTGCCTGTCCGGGTAGATCTGTCGCCAGGATGAAGAGGACCCAGTTGAGCTCTTTGCGCACACCTTCAAACGCCAACTGGAGAGAGGCTGCCCTTATTTCCCGGCTGGAACCGTCCACCAACCCTTGGCCTTCGATCGCGCCAAAGGCCCTGGCCGCCGCCCTACGGTCTCTTGCGATTGAGGACTTTGACCGGACACTCAACCGCCTCGCGGACCTCCTCCACCAGCACTCTCGCCCTGGCCCGGATTTGCCCGCGCTCCATGCCCCCATCCTCCACCTGCTTGAAAAGTGCTTCCACACCTTTGCACCCTTCGACCCTGAGATGACGGGAAGCCACCTCCCTCTCCACGGCCAGGTCCAACCTGTCCAGCCTTTGCCCTTGTTCCTCCTCCCTTGCCACAAGCTCGCCCACCCGTTACTGCAGGTCTTCCAGCTTACGCTTTCTGTCCCCATCGCGCGGGGCCATTGCCCAAGGTCAAGAGGCACTGCTGTTTGAAGAACCAAAAGCGAATCTCGCTCACGGTTCTTCCTTGCCCCTATACTCCCGAACATCCTTGGGCAATATTGACATCGAAGGCTGGCTCAAAGTAGCGTGACGACTTGGGGGCGACGCCGCCTCCTTGGGCTATCGCGGGTGGCAAAATAGGACAAAACTAAGCATGAGGTCCAAGTGGTCCACGTATTCCGCCCGCAGTCGGAGTTCCACTGGGTGTACTTCTAAGCGTAGATCATTATTTACTGAATCGAGCAGAGACAAAGTAAGTACCGCTAGGCCCTCCTGCGAACGGCCAAACCAGAGTTCTTAAAAGCGCTACGACGCGCAAAGCCAGAGCCAGTGAAACAGTCACCCGGGTATCATCTTGTCGAAACATAGATCCGAAGAACGCAAAGGCAATCCTCAATTCCTAGTCGTGAACGCCAGAGAAGAACTCTCCGGTACCCGGATCGTGTTTGCCCATCTCGAAACGGCCAGTTAGCCATAGCGCTGTCATTCTTGGCAATGAATGCAGCATCACAATATTGTTGATGCAAAGTAGTTGCAAAAGCTGCAGGGTTCTTGCAGGAACGAAGAGCTTCGTCAAGAGGACACGCAGCTTGACCGTCGATAATGAAAGTGAGAAGGCGCGCCGAATACAACTCTAGGGTTCGGGTTGTCACGTGGAATGACGTGCAATCGGCAGAGGCAAGCAAACGGCGTAGCTTTCGTCAGGTCGTAGCCTGCAGACAGGAAAGAATTTATCAAGTTCGACGCTTGGCGAAGTCCCTTGCCAAAGCTGTCAAGCTTACTGCCGTCGTATCCCACGCCAGCATATAGCTGTGTAGTCGGAAAGGAACATCCTGCATCGGATAATGTCCCAGCGGCCGCGAAGATTCAGAAGATTTTTGTGAAATAACCCATTGTTCCGCAACTCAGATGGAATCTTCCAAATAACAGGGCACCTGGGGCTAATCAATCTCTCTGAATCAAAGCCACTGCGAGCACGACACGCAAAAGATTGAGATGTTCATAAAGTATTCCATATCTTATGGGAGAAAAACCTGCTGGGCCAGGGCAAACAGGAAAAGCTCCACCATCGTTAGCAACCTGCCTGAACTTGTTCAGATAGTGGGCCATCATCAAAGACGCTGGCGGATCATCCCATGAGTCAGGGGGACGTGCATAAAATGGAATATCTTTGGAGATCAAACGGATTCTAACTTCGGAGGAAGAAGACATCTTGAGAGAAAACGTCCGCAATGGAACCTGTCCGACGCACACGGGAGTTCGTGACCATTTGCAAAAGAGCTTCAGCTTCTATTTGCGTATAGGTATCCAATGTCAACGTGAGCCTGTTTGAAGCCGAGTCCCCCCGGCCTCCCGAGACCGCTGATGGGGCTACCTTGTCTGGAATTCAATCTCGCCAACAGCTTCGGGCCAGGATGCACGTTACCGGAGCAGCAGTCCGTGCAATAGAAGCAAATAGACAATAGAACCATAAGAAGCTCCCCCCGTACCCACCAAGAAGATGTTTTCGAAGTGAATAGAGACAAAAAGAACCGCAGAAAACTTCCAGTATCTGTAGGCGGGTTTGAAAGCATTTCGCTAGCAGCAACATGCGGGGGTCCATGTGTAGACGGCGTACTCAATGTGAAAAGAGCCAGAGAACCCACATTCGACCTCCAGTGTCAGAAAAAGTTGGAGGCAAGCCTGGCTAGGAGTTCGGTATTGTGCTGGCGAACCATCATCTGATGATTGACCATGGCAAATTGAAAGATGCAACCCAAAGCCTGCACGGGGTCCCAAAGAGGTACCCCACGACGTAGAGGAAATAACAAATTATAGAGATATATGGTCCAGTGCTTGGCGGCCCCCACCTCCCCCCCCCCCCCCCATGGTCTGGAACCCCCCCCCCCCCCCCCCTGTGGCTCCCCCCGCCCCTGTGGCCCTGTGGGGTGGTGGTTGTGGTGGTTTAGGGCTTTGGGTTTAGGGTTTAGGTTTAGGATTTAGGGTTTGTCTGGAACTGTGGCTCCCCCCGCCCGGCCCTGTGTGGTTGTGGTGGTTTAGGGTGGGTGGTTTAGGGTGGTAGGGTTTAGGGTTTAGGGTTTAGGGTTTAGGGTTTAGGGTTTGGGGTTTGGGGGTTTGGGGTTTGGGGTTTGGGGTTTGGGGTTTGGGGTTTGGGGTTTGGGGTTTGGGGTTTGGGGTTTGGGGTTTGGGGTTTGGGGTTTGGGGTTTGGGGTTTGGGTTTGGGGTTTGGGGTTTGGTTTGGGGTTTGGGGTTTGGGGTTTTGGGGTTTGGGGGGGTTTGGGGTTTGGGGTTTGGGGTGGGGTTTGGGGTTTGGGGTTTGGGGTGGGGTTGGGGTTTGGGTTTGGGGGGGTTTGGGGGGGTTTGGGGTTTGGGGTTTGGGGGGTTTGGGGTTTGGGGTTTGGGTTTGGGGTTTGGGGTTTGGGGTTTGGGGTTTGGGGTTTGGGGGGGTTTGGGTTTGGGGTTTGGGGTTGGGGTTTGGGGTTTGGGGGTTTTTGTTTGGGGTTTGGGTTTGGGGTTTGGGGTTTGGGGTTTGGGGTTTGGGGTTTGGGTTGGGGTTGGGGTTTGGGGTTTGGGGTTTGGGGTTGGGGTTTGGGGGTTTGGGGTTTGGGGTTTTTGGGTTTGGGGTTTGGGGTTTGGGGTTTGGGGTTTGGGGTTTGGGGTTTGGGGTTTGGGGTTTGGGGTTTGGGGTTTGGGGTTTGGGGTTTGGGGTTTGGGGTTTGGGGTTTGGGGTTTGGGGTTTGGGGTTTGGGGTTTGGGGTTTGGGGGTTTGGGGTTGGGGTTTGGGGTTTGGGGTTTGGGGTTTGGGGTTTGGGGTTTGGGGTTTGGGGTTTGGGGGGTTGGGGTTTGGGGTTTGGGGTTTGGGGTTTGTCTGGAACTGTGGCTGCCCCCCCCTGTGGCCCTGTGGGGCGGTGGTTGTGGTTTAGGGTTTTGGGTTTAGGGTTTAGGGTTTAGGGTTTCGGGTTTCGGGTTTCGGGTCCCTCAACCGAAGGCGCAACACTCACAAAACACGGGTATTGCAGAGGGTGTGCTCACAGTCGGCCCCCCCCCCCCCCCCCCCCGTACCTGACCATGCCATGGGGGGGGGGGGGGGGGCAGACACGCCAGACGCCGGACCATATATACTCTTACATCTGCTTGAAAACGGCATAGAGGCAATCCACGACATAGACGTAAGGCTGGCTGCAGGCCAGACGGAAGCAGCTCGAAATCAAAAACATATGGTGTCGTAAGTCACGGGCGATCCGAATTAACTGCCCCTGCTGCCTTGTGCCAAAGCCTCCCCAAAACCCTGACCCCTAAACCCTCGGCCATTCCAGTACTATGGGAAGGCGCATGGGGGGCTTGCAGAGTATATGGGGTTTATAGGGTTTGTGGAGTTCATAAAGCCATGACGATTGGTCAACCCTGCACATCCCAGAAGTCCCGCTTTTATGGGGTTCCCAATGTGGCAAAATTGTCTTCCCCATAGTTGCTACCTCTTCATAGGGATTTGGGAAATTAAGGACCTCATGTATGCCCGATAGAACCTCTGCAACCCCTACTGAGAACCAGCAAGCAAAACCTCAAACCCATGTAACGCCTGTAAGATATAAACACGGTTGCCATGGCTCGTCTGGCATGGCAGGAGGCGCTCCATGTGGTAGCCCTGCCCCTCAGTCGATGAAACTGAACCCTGAGCAATATCTCTCAAAGTGGCCATGAAGCCTAAACATCCGCACGCTGCGCAATCTGCATCCGCATCCCGAGTCGCTGTCAGGGAATCGGCTTCGTGAATTGCATCCCCTCCACTCTAAAGCATCGCAGGCGCTGAGCCCTAAACCCTGGACCCTCAAAAACGAGTTCTCAAGAATGCTCTACATGTCTCCGCTGCGCTGGGCCACGTGGGGCGAGCCGTAGACACGGCCATTTTGCAGGAGCATCACATTGCGAGCTCCTTGAGCTGGGAGGTGGGGGCCCTGAAGCCCTGCAGAGAGGGTTCTCATGTTCAGCATCTGGAAGGTTAGATTTTCGGAAGCTTTAGGGTTGAATAGTTTTGGGTTTAGGCCTCAGGGTCTTGGATGGTTCTGAGTATCTGAGACCTCGCTGCGGGAAGACCAACACTAGAGCAAGCCCTCCCTTGATCAAGAGCCGGACGACAACCCTGAACCCTGAAAACCTAAAACCCTGTCAACCCTAAACACTAACACAAGGGACTCCCTCCCTGCCAAGGCTCCGAAGAGATTGAAGGTCCGCCCTTTCTGTAGCCCCTGTCCAGGTGAATCGTGAAACACATTCCCAAAACATCTGACCGCGAAAGTAGTGTGAAAAAGACATGGGTGTGACCGGCTTGCCGAGGGACTCAGATCAGATGCGGCAAGATCCGCGCCTCCAGAGTAGGGATGTCGTCACTGGCCTGCACCGACAGGGACAGAATATGTATACAAGAAGACTGTAGTGGCTGAAGCGAGAGAGAGAGAGAGTGTTACTTCAAACAAGAATGTCTTTACATGTAAACTTCTGCAGTGCGTTTGTGGGGGGGGGGGGCGGATGCAGCCCAGAGACGTTGGCCACCCAGGGCGGCACCGGCGAGGCCAAGCCCTGACAACGGCGCTGGCAACAATCGTGAGAAGAGAGACTTGCTAAGCGCAAAGAAAGCGCTCGAAGCGCGTTTTGAGAGAGCACCCCTTTCTTCTGCCCTTCAAACCCTTGGAGCTGGTTTGCGGATTTGCCTCAAAACATGGTCAGCTGAAGCCTATCTCCATCCCCGCTCATCTGCTCAAGTCTCTGTTTACCTTCTGTCGCCGTCGGCTCCTGTGACTCCTGCGTCCTGTCCATGTCTGTACAACTCAGCAGAGAGCTTGGGCACGCCCGTCGCTGCGAGAATGCGAGTGGCGATCAGCGTCACATCTTCTTCGCTGCTTGGACTCGGCAGCTCGACGACCTTACCCTCCTTGACAAGAGGAAACACCGACTGGGCAACATAGCGCTCATGGGCAGGCCATGCAAGGTCATCGAAGTCAGAGGAGCTCAATGGGTTTGGGTTTAGCCTTCCGCAGCCCTGCGTCCGGCGCCGCCGCGCCTCCTCCCAGGACAGCTCCAAAGAGTAGCAGAGCGTGAGCTGGCTGTACACTTCCGGGCTGTGCAGAAGTTGGAAGCCCTCAGCAATAACCACGTCGTGTGAACAGCTCGCATCGCGGATGGCCTTTGCAAAGGCCTTGTGATTGGTACATTCCGGCTCCTCTTGAGACTCGCGCTTTGCCCCTGCCACCTTTACAAGAATCGGGCGCTCCCAGTAGCTGTCCTGATCAAAGGCCCCCGACAGCTGTGGAATTGGTATGACAGCTACGGACATGTACGGACCGAAGGTCTTTTTAAAAAAACCACCCCCTTCTCCTGGCCCACCACCCGCACGCCCAAGCCAGCCTCGACCAGGCGCGCCTTAAGGACTTTGGCCAGCCAGCTCTTCCCCGAGCGTGTGCAGCCCGTGAGGCCGATGACGAGAGACTTGCAACTGCCACAAGGAGAACAACTCGAATGACGCATGAGCAATTAGATGGGGAAGACAGGTCATGTGGGAAAGCAGCTAAAGAGGCTAAGGAGCTCTGATGGAAGCCCAGAGCAGGACTGTTTTGCCTCAGCCTGGCTGCTTGAGAAGCCGGAGATGCCAGCTCAGCCGCGCCCTTCACGCTGTGGCGGCTCGCCATGTCCAGTACAATGACATGCAATGCACCGAATCCTGGTAATGCCCGAAGGCTAAGGCCAACTTCGTTAGTGAACAGCCGTGCACCCCGCGTGCTGCCCCTTGAGACGAGGACACTTCTGGCATCTCGGAGACTTGTTTCTCGACTTGCGGACTCATTCTTTGCTCTCATTCTTTCATCCGTCCACTGAGAGCAGCCCTGGCTCTCTCGAGGGTTTTACAGGGTTGTAGGTGTAGGGTTTAGGTTCAGGTCTCCGAGTTGTCCTCTCTCCTTTGTCTTCTCTCTTCTCCCTTCTGTCTTCTCCCCTCTCACTTCTCGAGAAAAGGTACGACCAAGGCTTGATTCCTGTCAGATCACGTGCCGCATCATTCCGCTCATGCTCCCCAGTCCGCCTGCAAGCCTGACAACTAACTTCAACAGGGCAGCAGGGGCATCTTCTAAATTTATCCCGCGCGCCCTGCGACCCACTGAAGCAGAGCTTCAGTTGTTGGGAGGTTTTGAGCCAATTTGTGCACTCAAAAGACCCAAAAGTCCCCCGCGCGCAGCCTCACGACGTCCGTCATTGAGAAACTGCATGATGCCTGGGTGGGAACTCGCCAACTGGCAACGGCAAGTAGGGGGGGCGCTTTCATCACATCCGTTTGCTGTTGGACCTAAGGATCGTGCACGAACATGCGAAGGGGTTCACTTGCCTTGAACCCTCAAGCTTCTTGGCATTTCTGCCATCTGAACTTTGCTCAGTTTCCTCAGACCTCCCCCCATGACCCCATGAGGGGGTCTCTTTGGCTTTGAAAGGTCTCTCAAGCAGGGGCCGAGGCCTCTGCCCTCCTTTCTGCAAGAAAACCCAAGCAAGCCTCCCATGCAGGAACCTCAAAGTATCTCGGGTGGGGGGGTGGGGCTACTAAGCTACGCGAGCGAAAACACGCGTACACTGATACATACCCTAAACTCTCAACCTAAATGCTACACCTTAAGCCTTAAACCCTACACCTTAAACCCCAAACCCTAAACACTAAACCCTAAACCCTAAATGCTAAACCCTAAACCCTAAATCCTTCCCACACAAACCCTGAGCCCTCGGCTGCCCCACTTCGGAGCGAAGGCAGTGCAGAAGCGGCGCTCCTAGCGGAACATGCGGATTCCCGGAAACTACGATCCCCCGCTTAATCTCCGAAAGAACCCCTCAGTAGAAGCCGCAGAACCCTCAACCTCGCTCCGCAACGGGCGCCGCCGCGGAGGAGGGGCCCGGCCTGTGGCTGCATCTTCGGTCAATGCATTTTCATGAGATGGTTTTTGTTGTTTGGGGGTGGTTAATGGTGGTAAGACGGGTTGAGGATATTATGAGGTTGTCGGATATTATGAGGTTTTCAAGGCCTTTAGGGCGTTTAAGGTTGGCGCTGCCAACTTTCCGCTGCACAGTTCTCTGAGAGGTCTTTGCCTTGCAGGAGGCTTGGGGAGTTGTAGGTGTTTGGTGGTTTTAGGGTCTAGGGTTTTTTCCCTTTAGTAACTTTTTAGCGTTCAGTGTTTAGGGTTTTGAAAGTTTAGGGTTGGTTGGCAAAAGGTCCCTTCTCGGGGCTGCTGGATTCACGTAGGATCACGCAGGGTCTTAAGGCTTGATGGCAGGCTTCCTTCGAATTTGGATTTCGAAGGGTCCCCCGAAAAAGAGTCACAAAGAGCCCCAATTCCCAAGAAGCAACCAGCGGAGCCCCCCTCCAACGCCCTCCAAAGAGATCACCCAGAGAAACCCACAGGGTGCCCCGGCTGCCAAATCAGGAACTCCATATTTCCGAAGAGCCGTAGCTTCAGCACTTCAAAGCCTGAGGGGTGCTGGCGGCTGGGGGAAACACCCGCCCCCAAAGCTACAACAGCTCTTGGAAAGATCCATCCCAACAGCAAGAAGCTAATGTGCCAAACCTTAAACTCCTAAACCCCCAAAAGGAGCAAGAGGCAGCAATCTCAGGCTTGCCTCGGCGCTCCACGAAGTCCACGATGGCACGGGCCCCCAAGTGGTTCACCGGCCAGCCTCCAACATCGGGTTTGGGGAGTTTTATGGGTTTTCGGGCTTGAGATTTAAGACTCACGTCTCGTCCCGGTCGTTTGCTACCATCAACTCCTGCATGCATCTTCTGTTCCGGAGGAGGTGCGAAAGCAAAACGAACGTAAGGCAGGGGAGTGACATCTTATTGTACTTCGGATCAACTGACAGCCGCCGCCGATGGTCGTTGCAAAAGTTCTCGCGGTCTTCCCACAGGTCTCCGGTCTTTAAGCCTTAGTATGCCTTGCTTAGTCTTAGTCATTGTGAGACGGGAGGCGGTGATGCGCTTTGTGTGCACGGCTTTTCAGCGCTTGAACGCAGAAAGCCGCCGGGGCAAGGAGTCACAGACTCGAAGTCTGTCGGTCCTAACAACCATGATAGCATTATTCGTTTCGCAGTCGCCGCAGAATGGCTTCGGCGCACTGCGAACCGCGAACCGACTGGTGGGACAGGGTTCGCACTTCGGGCTCTTGTGGCAATCTTTCTCGTTGAACAATCGAGCCGGAGTCCTTGCGCTCGTATATACGCTGCACTGAGTTTGACTGTTCGCAGGCTTGCGGCGAGTGTTCCCGGAATGGAGAAGCCAGGGTGGCACTTGCTTAGGTCAGTCCTCAGGAGAAAAAAACAACGACCCCCACCCTCGCACCCGTACCTACGTCCTCGTCTGCTTGGGGGCGTGGCCAGCCGTGCGCGACAGCCCCGAGAGAGAGAGAGAGAGAGAGAGAGAGAGAGAGAGGGAGAGGGAGAGGGAGAGAGGGAGAGGCAGAGGGAGAGAAAGAGAGAGAGAGAGAGAAACAGCGTGCTGCACTTATTACGACATTACCATTGCTCATATTGAGTGGATTGCGAGTTTTTGACGACTCGATACAAGCTTACCTTTTTCTGGAATGATGGCTGCCCTACACATCATCCGGCCTCCCAAAGTGTCTCGAGTATCCTCACACGGCAGGAGTGTACGGGTGGCTTCCCACGGCGAGCGCTTAAAACACCTGAAGCAATTATTTACCCGAGATGCACCCATGTCATGCTACACTAGTTGCCCTTGTGTCCCCACGCCACACGGAGATGTGAACTGATGCGAACTGTGAAAGCATGCATCTGCCATCTGCGAGGAAAAGTTTCATCAAGCACTGTGCGCCTGTCCCAATCCCGCCCCGGGTCCGCAAGGAAGTCGGTGCCGCGCTGCTGGTGGTGGGAGTCGTCGCCCACACCGAAGACCTGAGGAGGTCCTTTCGGACCCCAGAAACAGCCTCATGAGCAGCACCCTAGAAACCCCATGAACATCCACCAACAACCCCTCGTTGATTCCCGCAAGGAGCCGGGATCTCCCAATCGTTGGCTTCCCTGCTTTCTTTGGGGCTTAGGGGTTAGGGTTTAGACTGCGGGCGAGCACCCCCAAAACAAGTCCAAGTGGCCTACGCCATGTCACTGAAACAGCAGGCAGTGAAGATCCACTTGACTCCCCTGTACAACGAACCTGAACCCTACACACCCCTACACCCCCCTAGACCCCCAGAAAAAATTGACAAACCGAAGCCAGAAGCCAGAACACCTCCATGTCAGCTTGTGCACAAAAATCGCTGCGGAGTTGGTCACAGTGCTGTTGGTAGCTACTGCAACAACCTCGCCAACTTGGGCTTGGTTTCGTGGAAGCCAAGCCTGAAAAAGCCAAGGGCTCGACGTATTGACGGAGATCCTTGCCTGTGGTGGCCACGTACATCAGATCGACAAAGGCCTGGTCAGAAAGGATACACTGCTGGCACACAGACAGTAAGCGCAATCACAACATACTAAACAGCTGGACAGAGAATAGTTTCATTGGAGCACATCTGTGCATATCTCGGGTGTATAGAGACGCACGGTATCCAGATTCTATTTGTATTGGGCACTGCGAATCCCGTCAGCGGGCCCGGATTCTAGATGACCTGCAGCATCGAGCATGAGAGTGCCTTCACTGCACCCCGCTCCAACGATCAGAATGTTGGCATGCACAAGGCCCAAAGTGAAGCAAAACACTGCAACCCTTTGTACTGCTGCCACCTGCTCCAACTCCCACACACGTCGCATCGGGGCCTCGTCGGGCGGCCGAAATTGTTCGGGTTTTTCTCTCACTGGCTTCACCAGGCTCACTGGGCCAAACTCTCAATCCGAGCTCATCCTCTGGCACCCTTTCGGCACCTCGCCCCTTCGGTAGAGCTGGATCCGCCGCCGCTTCTCGCGCCAGATCTTGATTGGGTCCTGCATGGGCCGTTGTGGGCCAGTTCTCTGGGGCTCAGGGAAGTTGAGTCCGGAAGGCCCAGGCCCGATTTGGCCGGAAGCATGATCTGACAAATCTTAATCTCATGTGGGTGTTGATGTGAAAGTGGACAATGTTCCATCTGAAAGCTGCCTAAGACCCTCGAAGCAGAATGACCGTGTACACACGATCCAGCAGCTCCTTGGTATCCAAGGGGTAGACTGCGATCCACAGAATTCCCCTTTGGGGCGAGGCAATATCCTGGGATTCAGTGTCTCAACAAGTCACTGCCGACAGCAGTATCTCTTTTAGGAAAAAATATAGCACCCAGGCCAAAAGCCGCCCGAGTGTCCAAGAGGTTGCTGAGGGCGACAAAAGGCGCGGGGGTGTGGTGCAGGACACCGTAGCTGTAGATGACGTCGAAGGATCCTCAGGAGCTCTCGAAATTTAAGTTTTCTTGCTTCTGCAGGGGTGCTCATGCCTTTTATGGTCATGCTATTACAATTGGTTCATTAATCACCAAAAGGATTATCACCAAAAGGATTAGTAGTAGTAGTAGTAGTAGTAGTAGTAGTAGTAGTAGTAGTAGTAGTAGTAGTAGTAGTAGTAGTAGTAGTAGTAGTAGTAGTGGTAGTAGTAGTAGTAGTAGTAGTAGTAGTAGTAGTAGTAGTAGTAGTAGCAAGAAACAAACGGAACGGGTGTGAAAATGAAGATTGTCGTCGAACATGTTGCCGAGCCTGAAAAAACTGGCCTTAAGAAACTCAACTTGTACCTGTGTGCACATATATACATACCACAGAGATAGAGATATCTAGATATCCGCGACCGCCGCCGGGGATCGGCAGTGAAAACTCGGGGGTGAGGGAAGTTCGAGGGTGGCGAGCGGTGAGGGCAGTGACCCTTTGTCAACATAATGTGCAGAGTCCAAGGAGCTTGGAAGGAAGGGTGGGGGGGTGGGGGGGAGGGGCGGGTCGTTCATCCACAGCATGCGCAAGGGAGGGTGCGGGGGCGAGGTTTGCAGGAAGTGGGGTCCTTCCAAGAGGATGATTGTAATCTAAAGGGTTACACCTCATCTCCTCCGGGGTCGCCAGCACTGGGCGGTAGCCATTAATCGGGCAGCGCCATGCCCCTTGCACGGACCCTCGAACTAGCCTTGTGCGTAACACAAATAGGCCGGACGACAGTGCCGCAGACCCCACCATTTGGCTTTTTTTGCACAATTTGGGGTTGCAATGGACGCTTCATCAGTTTGGTCAGTCCGGGATGCCGGAACGCCCATCATGAGCATCAGCGGCCCCAGTCCGGGACGCCCGTAGCGCATCAGGAGCATCAGCGATGAGATGACGGCCCACGGGTGGACAATAACCCTTTCGCCTCGATGTGGCTGTGGGTTCCGTGGCGTGGATGCAGCTGGTTTTAAGGCATTTTTAGCGTTTTTCAAGCTCGTGGCTTGGGTTTTTATGGCATTCAGGTTTCGAGGTCTTTGAGCTCAAGGTCTTTGAGCTCAATGCCTATAGGGTTGCGAGGTCCTGGCTTTGACATGAACCCGGCGTCAAACCCATGCGGTCCGCCTTTGAAATCCTACACCTCGGGCTGCCTGCGCTGCCCGCTCATGGCGCAGCCCCCTAAAGAAAAAAGAAAAACATATATAGATATATATGTAATATATCCATCTTGTTCACTGTGGTGTCTGTTTTGCAGGATCCTAGTAGTATGGGTGGTTACCCTTGTCGCCCTTGTCGAGGCAAAGCTTCCCAAGCCGACAAAGGCAGACTTGTCCAAAGCATCCAGGTACCTCGGCTTCAGAGGAGTACTCCAATAGTACTCCATAGCACTACGCAGGCTTTACAACCGAAGCCTCAGTGGGCAAAGACTGTCTGACCAGTATCCCATCGCTCCCAGACACCCACAGGCCTCAGGCCCACCAATATTCGAATATTCGTTCACTGCTCTATCAACGTTGTCAAGGTGGATTTCCTCACACGCCTTTGCATCTCAGAAAGATTGACATAACCCCAAATGCAAGCTACCCCTTATCCGTGAACACTCGTGGGCCCAAGAACCCTTGCAACAAGAAGCCTGAAGCAGCACTTCAGCGCAGCCGTTTGTTGTTTTGCGAACGCCAACGGACTCTGGATCGCCCCCGGTTTTTTTTTGGTGCTGTAAGTGGTTCCAGGAGGGAATCGCTTCAAGTAAACATGTGGGCTTGACTTGTGTAGAGTTGAGCCTTGACCCGCAGTATCCTGCGGTAGCCTATCCCGTGCCAGTCAAGGCATTCAAGAGCAATCGCCCTCCCGCCATGTGCTGATGCTATTGATCATCAGAGCTGCTGCCCCGGAGCAAAATCAAAACCGGAATGGAACTGCATCCATTCAGAAGCATTTGCGTGCGTGAGAGTTGCTGTCTACCCCTAACATTTAAACACCCTTCCCCTAGACCCCAAGACCCTCAATACGAAACCGAGATTTCTACAGACGTCTTTGTTGGCGACCCTTTCACAATGATGCTTTTTCTTTAGATGGTACGGAGGTTAGCGCTGAAAAAGCTTTGGGCTCAGGGCTAGTGGCCCTTTTTAAAGACTTCCGGACAGGGCACCCCCCCCCCCCCCCCCGCCGAGGCTTCAGAGTGTGGGTTTCAGGATTTATTCGAGGGCTCGTTTTGAAGTATACAACCAGTTCAGCTGCACAACTATGATTTCTGAGGTTCACTATCCCACCTTGACCCAATCAAAAGCACCAGAGTCACCCGAAAGGATCCAGAGCCCAGGCGCTGCACCCTCCACCGCTCCACAGGCAGCCTGGGCTCTGAGCGCTTCTTCAAGGAGCCCGCTATGCACCACAGCGGGAGAGAACAATGTGTTTTAGGGTTGAGGGCTTATAAGGCTTAGTGAGTAAGATGCGGGGTAACTATGGTGTTAGAATTGGTAGCCAGGGATATGTAGAACTCTGAAATGAAATGGCTGATACGATGTAACCGCAGTCATAGCTGCCCGCATTTTTACGGGCACTTGCACAAACCCAATTAAGGGTGCACTTTACATTCCTTCACGGTCAACCCTGAACCCCCCGATAAAGTCCACCCCTACACCGTCTACACCCCCTGAATGAACTTTAACCCCCAAGCTCCGCCTCTCCCCTAAAGGACCCTCTGGGAGCCTGGCCCAGTTGACTCGGCTGCCCACTCGCGGAGCAAGCCTGGGCTTGAATCGAGGCGAGGGAGTCCTTCTAACAGCCCCCTCCCCTTCCAAGCAAAGCATCTGACGAGAGGCGGGTCGCTTGCAGCGAGCCTTCGTCCACGTCGACACTGACAACGCGCCCTTGGGGGAAGCATGCGACACCATGCAACTGTCCCGTGGCAAGCCCCTGTGTGTTTCCACGCCCTGACCCCAAGCAAGTCGGTGACATCTTGTCTCCGTCGGCTCTTGCTGGGCGCGCGGCTTGCGCCGGCCTCGCGTTCATTTCAGGCTTCCGGAGGGTCTTTCGTAGGGGCTCCGGGGGCATCAGCCCAGCCCAGAGCTGTCTGACGCAGGAGGCCGATTTCATCCAAATGCACGATGTGAGCTTGCGAATGCATCTATATGGGGCACTGTTGAAGAATCCCTTTGCATTTGGGAATTGTACCCAAACCAACATGTTTCAAGGCGCTGCCAAAGCAATTAAGAAATCGCGGTGCTCCGCATCCACGAACAAAGCTGTCATGAAATTGTGGCAACAGATGAAGACATGGAGGTTCCATCCAACCCAAAGTCACCCGGGGACCTCATTAAGACTTTCAGGTGCACTGAATTGAGAAAATTGAGCTGGAGGCCCCTTTAACATGCGCATTGCATGGGGCATGGCTCTTGCTCGAACCGAACAGCTGTCATTTCATCAAGACATCAGTTGAGAAGTTCTTTGCTGATTTGACCATCGTGGACTCTTCAGATCTGTCAGTTCACACCTGACTGGCTCGACTCTTGGCTGAGAAACCGCGAAGAAACTCAGAGGCTCGGGATCCGGAACAAATCCAAAACAAGCTAAGACGAAGGCAAGATATTGAGAGCCTCCTTGGCCAGAGAGTTTCTTCTCCAATGCTCACACCGTACTCAGCTTCCCCGAGATGGAAGCACTGTACCCCGAAATTTCCGGTTTAGCGTTGAAGGTTTTAGGCTTAGGGTTTAGCATGAAAACCTCCTTAACGCCCCGCCACAACCGACACCTTGTCTCGGGCCTTCAAAACTTGACTTCAGGCCTAAACTTAAGCCCTGATATGCTGCAGCCCTAAATCCCCTGAACCCTTTTTACCCCTAAGCCCCTTAAACATCCGTCAACCCTTCGAACTCTTCAACCCCGGTTCAACCCTGTGGGCATAAAACGGAAGCACCAAGCGGCACCTGTAGCGCGGCCAGCGAGTTGTATCCAGCACCGCAGCCGACATCCAGGAAGGCCCTCCCCACCGGTTGTGTTTGAAACTTGCTTTTGCCTTTGGACTCTTCTTGTGCTAGATTTTGGGTGGGGGGGTGTAGGGTTTGGAGTTCAGGGATTTAGGGTTGGGGTTGTTAGGCGCGGGGGCTCCCTCCGCAGAATGTTGGGGGTTCACGTTCACGGTTTCAGGGCTTGTTGTGGAGTCGAGGGTTTGGGGAAGGAAATATCGTCAAGAAATGCATGCCGAAGAGGTCTTCTGCTTAAGCTACGCGTGTCCCAGAACGAATCCCAGCTCCCATATTTGCCAGACCCTGAGACCCCACATTGGCCCTACATGTCGAACCCTGAACCCTCAACAACCTCAACCTGTCAACCACCGAACTCGAAAAACGCAGACACGACGACATCCTTCACCACATAAACCCACTAACCCACAGCCAACACCCTTGTCCATTTAACCCCACAACGCACCCATCTCCCGGGCCCCAGGCAAGTTGCGCAAACTACGCCGGTTGAGGAAGCCGTGCAGGTGACTGGCGCAGGGCGCTTCAGCGAACAGAGGCGCTTCGGGTTCAGATGGCCAAGGGGCGGCTGTTTAGAGTTTGAGCTTTGTTCAGAGTTCAAGGTTTTGCTACAGGTCTTACCAATAACCCAGAAAACCTTTTAAAACCACTGTTAAAGGACCTTATTCCCGAAACTTTGTACCAAATTTCACCAAACCCCCCCCCCCCCACCCCCGCTTGAAACCCAAAGCCGCTAAGCCGCATAATATGTAACGTCGACACCCCCCCCCCCCACAAAAATTGCACCAAACCCCCTCCCCCCTTGGTCGGGCTTAGGACTTTCATACATGTTTGACAGATTCTCGCCTCACAAACAATGCCCGACATGGCTGCTCGAAAATATCCAAGAAACTCCCAACAAAATGCACTCCAAGAATATCCCGAAGAGAACTCCAAGAGCACCCCAAGAACATTGACAAGCGACCTCTTAGAAGTCCAAAAACAGGGACCGTTTCGCCGAGCCCGGACAGCGACGAGAGTTTGGCATTGGGGGTGGGCTGCTGGGGGTTTGGGGGTGCTGGGGGTGCTGGGGGCGCTGGGGGGTGCTGGGTGCTGGGGATTCTGTTGTTGGGGGTGCTGGGCGTGTTGGGGGTTCTGTTGGGGGTGCTGGGGGTGCTGGGGGTTTGGGGGTGCTGGTGCTGGCGGTGCTGGGGGTGCTGGGGGTGTTGGCGGTTCTGTTGCGGGGTGCTGGGTGCTGTGGTGCTGGGGGATGCTGGGGATGGTGGGGGTTTTGTTGTGGGGGTGCTGGAGGCTCGGGGTGCTGCGGGTGCTGGGAGTGTTTTTCGGGGGGGGGGGGGGGGGGCCGACCACCAAATAATGGCCCCCAGCCCAAACCCCATCAACTGCGCGGCCCAGTCGCAGGCTGGCAGCCTCGAGCCCGGCCCACCGGACCTTGGCGGGTGTTAGGGTTTAGGGCTTAAGGTTTGTATTGGCTGGCTTTCGTTCTTTTTGGAGGGAATTGGGGTTTGGGATTTTGCGGGCTTTGCGAGAGTGCTGCCACTCTTTGCGGCTTTGGTGTGGGTTGTTGGGAGCCCATGAGCTGTCGCACGCCTGATCAGTCGTCTGCTGCGCCGAGACCATGCGAAGCCAGTTTGCCTGAGCTTCCCTCACCAACTTTAGCCACGATTTCAACCCGACCAGGAGTCAGCCTATGTGTTCGCAATCACGTTCGGGACTTACGACTAGAATCTAGTGCCCAGCAAAGATCCGCCAACGTCCCAAACCATCAAACCCAAGCAACAAAAGTCCAAAATTTGCTCGGGACACCCCAAAGGACCACGTGGCGTTGCTCGCCTCGCGGCGGCGCCCCAGGGGCCAGGCCTGAACAAGAGCGCGGCTGGGTCCCGAAATCTTCAAAGCTTTGCCGAAACGGTTGCATGGCACAGGGGCGCTTGGCTTGGGGCATCCCAGAGACTCCAACATACCTTAGGGAATATTCCTGACATCTTACTCGGACCCAATTACGGAGTTCAGGAAAATCCCCATACTAAGGGCCCTGAGATCCCAGCCTGCATACGGGAGTTCGCCAGCCAGAAATTCATGGTGAAAGCGTAGACAGCCTCGTCTGTGCTTAGAGGGACAAGCGAATTTGGGCAGCTTGTCAGACATAGCAGCTTCAAAGCGATAAACAGCACGGACGCCAGCTTTGCTAGACTCGTGCCCGGGCGCGATCTCAAACCACGTGCCGGTGGACCAGTGGCAGGGGCGGCTCTGGCACAGCAGGCCTGAGCCCGGCTCGGGAACCAAAAGTGAACCCAAAAGTCAATCCCTGCCCCAACCCCCAGGTTGCCAAAACCAGCCCAGCCACGGTAGCCTTGACGTGAGATGCCGTAGAGCACCTGCGCGTCCTGGGCTTCGAAATGTTTCGAGCGGGTGTTGAGACCTTTCTCACGACCACGAAGGCAGAGTTGGCAACAGTCTCGCCTCAAGGAGGTATCTGGGCGCTCAACAACGACAGACATCGAATCAGATTCGCGTTGTCTCAGTCGACGGAACAAGCCGTGGTTCCTAAGCCGCACGGCGCACAAACCCGAAAGGCCCTACAGCCTTCAATCCTAAACTGTCCGAAAACCGCGATAGCCCGAAACCAACCCTATACCCCGCCCCTGCCCCCAAGGAAAGGTGAGGGCGTCTCCTGTCCGGCCAAGACATCCCCAGCACCACCAAGGCCCGCAGCCTCCGAGAGGGTCTTTCAGTACAATCATAATCTCTCCTTACTTGGATGGGTTTTTGATGTCAGTCTCAAGTGCTTAGGCTTCTCACATTGTTCGACGGAAAAATTGGAACGAGAACGGCTGAATCGGAACCAGAAACGGAAAAATCAAACCAAGCCTGCATCGGAAACCAGAACGGCTGATTCGGAAACCGGGGAAATGTCAGCGAGTTTCTGATGCTCTGCTTTCCGAGCACGATTACCCCAAGCCGAGTTGATGTGCGGCTTCTGATGCGCAGTCTCTGATGCGCCCTAGTTTCTGATGCGCAGTTTCTGATGCGGCCAGTTGCTGACTTGTTGTTTTTGATTCGCGCTGGTTTCAAATTCGTAGTTTCTCATGCTTTCCGACACGATTGACTCCCCCACCACCCCTCCCCCTCCCGCCAACCCCCAACCCCACCCACTTGACGCGCGTTTTCTGATGCGCCCTGGTTTCTGAGGTGGCCAGCTTCTTTGTTGTTCTTGAGTCGAAGTATCCTTCTAAGGTTGCTGAATCAGAAACACCTCGCTCTGGGCAGTTCAACATCCAGACGAGCCGTCAACAAAGCCAAGGCTGACCATCCTCGTCGTTGTTGCTGCTGCTAATCGCAACACTATTCATGCCTCGTATCATCTTTTGTCTCTCCTTCTTCTCATGCTTGCTCATATATCTTTCTGAATAATTCTACGAATAATGCTGTGATCATCCCATCTTTCAAGCCCCGCCTTGGCCAAGGAGCGCAAGGAGATGAGGCCCAGAGCACAGTGGGTGTAGTTCCTCAGTGAACTCGTGCATGTCAGCTGCTTTCCCCGAAACCCCATGAACCCCAAAGGCGCTCGAAGGCCCCCGAAAGCCTGACCCCATTTGATGCAGAGGTTGCAATATCTTGCTTTTCGTCTCTTCGTCAAGTCGCTCCACCATTGCGCGGGTTCGCCAGCAAAGCTCTTGCGGAGACCTCCATTCCTGGACACAACTTTCTGGGATCACCAGATACTGAGGCATACTGTCTTTCCTGGAAGAAAGAAGCATCTGCATGCCCAGACACACAAAAGTGAAAGCAGCACGCTGGGCTTGCCCCACTGGTCAACTTTCATGGAACCAGCTAACCAGCTAGCAATCACGCTGTGAGGGAGGGGATCCATCTTGACATCTTGGCACTACATTTTGCTCACGGAGACTTAGAAGCTGAACCCCAGCCCCTGAACCCCACCCCTACCCCCCGTCAAGTCCCGAAACTTGGGATCCAGCAACTACTTCTGACGGTGGCGCGAACTGAAAAACAACTTAGACGCACCAAATCCAGATAAAAGACATCTTGGATCCGGAGTTTCCCGAGCCTGTTTTCGCAGCTGAAGAAACAACTGGCCAATACATTTGTCAAGACAACCCCTACAATGAAGTCCTGAAACTTGCCTTTAAAAAACAACAAAGTGCCTTAAATCAGCGAGAGGTGAAACCCTAACCGTAAACCAAACACCCTAACCCCCCTTATAAGCCCCCTCGCCGCATCCCTTCCTGGAGGCCCCGGCCGCTGATGCCGCGCGCAGCAGCGGCGTGGCGGCTGTGAGCCGCGATGCCAGAGCCAGTTCTTGGGGAGGGGATCTAAGGGTTTGCAGTGGGCTCCAAAGGGGCTTCAAAGGGATTTGATAGGGTTTTTAGGGTTTTGGGGATTGCTCTTATGACGACCAGTCGAAGTCGGACCTTGGGTCGGTCCGGCAAGCCGGCATCAAAGCACTCGGCTTGGGGGGAGTACTGGGGAGTTTAGGGAGTTTAGGGCTTTAGGGTCCTAGCAGTAGCTCATGACCTCCGACATATCGCCGGTAAGCCTTCCGATAAGCGAAAGCAACCAGACTGAGCAACCAATGCACTCGGATCTGCATGAAAGAAGGCGGTGGGAAACGGAACCCGAACGAGCGATGAGAGTCTTAAATGTCCCTGAATCCCCCAAAGCCCCCCCAAACCCTCCTCAAGTAACCGAATGCCTCAGCTGAGAAGCTTATGTCCGCCTCCACATGGCTTCGGTTTCCTCGGCTGCCACGTGAACACAAGTGCAGTTCAACGTGAGCCTCTGCGGCGGCCTTACACCAAATCTCAAGAACTCGCTGAGAGCTTGGAGCTGCAAAAGCAACCCACGAAGCCCGAAGAACCCCCCGAAGCAAGCCCGGCAAGAACACAGGTCCAGCAAAGGATCCACATCTGGATGTCAAGCAAAGCCCGAAGATCGCAACGACTAAGAAGCCGAAACCCGAAACCTCCAAAAACCCCCAGGCAGAATCACTTTCAGCCCCTAAACCCTGAAACCCTTTGAACTTGTGCCTCCTGGTCAAATCCCTACAAGCCCCGGAACCCCGAACTGCGAACTCTCAAACGCCAATCAAATCCCCGTACTGGCTCCGAAACCCGAGACTTTAAAACCTTCACCCTGCAACCTAAACCCAAACCCTACGCCCGTAACCCTAAAACTTAGAATCCTCAACTCCGGCCAACACACCCCCGCCAAAAAAAAAAACAATGTTCTTGAAGAGCTGCTCGCCGGACCCTGCAACCAGCCGAGCGTCTGGGCCTCGACCATGACCGTTCGTTATAAACCCGCGCAAGCAAAAGGCGCCCCCAGAGATGGGCCGAGAGAGATGGGCTCTCTAAACGGCCCTCGGTGAGGGCCCTTTTTTCGGGCCCCTTTTAAGTGAGGGATTGAGAGGGTTGAGGGGTTGAGGGTTGGTAGGGAGCCCACAGTATACGTACGCATAGTTATAACTTATATCCGTAAATCCTTACAACCAGCGATAAGTGCAAAGCGACATGAAACTACCCTTCTTGTAGCCCCGGCTTGTCGGGCTTTTAGGGCCTGGCGTGAGGATGCGTGAGGCTTTGGGCTTGCGGGCTGCTAACTCGGGGTAGCGCTTAGGGCTAGCGGCTGATGCCTTGGGGTGTTCGGGTTTACCACTCAAGCATGAGGGGGGGAGTCGGAGGGAAGTGCTCGAAGATGCGGAGGTTGGCGGCGATGGTGGCAAATGCGCACCAGGAGCTTCACCTGACATGAGCTTGTGGCGCTGCTTGTAACAACTGACATGGTGACCCTGTTTCATTGCAGCACGTCATCTGGAAGGCATGCACGCATTCTGCTTTTTGGTACTTGGCGCAACATGTGGAGACCTGCGTCTCTACAAAGGACTGGCTCATGTAACCCTGAACCACTCGCACAGCAGTGGAGCTCAAAACTGGCTGCGATGTCTATCTGCGATAATACTCCATCTTTGTTCGAGTCAGTCCACACAAAACTCTGACAGGAACTTATCAGAACCTGACTCCCTCACTCGAGCCCATCCGTAAGACTCTCATAGGACATCCTGGAAATTGCAGGGTTGGCACCTGCCTGGCATTGGACATTTGATAGCTTTGGAGGCCATGTAGATTGGGCTCAAAATGGGCTTGCCCTGACACCACCGTTCATCATTGCGGCACCACCGTTGAGGTACATTTCAACGTCCTTGTCGAAGGCCTCCATGAGCTCGATGTAGCGTGTACCAATGGTCTGGTAGTTCTTCTCATTGTAAGCCCGCTTCGCCTCCTCAGGTGTCACGAACTCCACGAAACCGATGCCGGTGGGACGGCCTCCCGCATCGGCCTGTATGTGCATTCTTCCGGTGAGCCCATAGCCATTGAAGAACTGGGAAATCTCGTCATTCGATGCCGAGAAGGGCAGGCCCTGGAGCCGGATCACGTTGCCCGTGGGAGGCCGTGCACCACCGCCCTTGCCGCCGCCGCCGCCGCCCCAGCCGCCGCCCTTGCCGCCGCCCATGGCGCTCATGAACATCTGCATCATTTGCATCATTTCGGGTGGCATGCCTGAACCTGGGATTCGCCACACACATCAAGCAAAAAGCGAGAGCGACTACTCATGTCCGCCAATGACCACTCATTACTTACTCATACTAGAGACAGTGTGGGCCAAGCAGCCCTTCATGCCCTTCATCATGCCCTTCATGGCGCCACCCTTGCCACCACCCGGGCGCATGGACTTCGGCGTTGCGAAGACGACTGTCACCGGGTTGGCCAAGCCTGCACGTTGAAAGGGAGGGGCCTTGAGTCCTAAACACGTGTCAGCAGAATCTGGTCTTGTTTGGTATCTTTCAAGTATTGCACAAAATAGAAAGTCAACACGAGGCCTTGCGGAACGTTGCCGTTGACATGGTCCACGATCCATCTGGCGTCCTCGACGCTGTTCATCACCACGAAGCCGGCTGCGGCCGTTTTGCCCGGGGAGACCGGGAGGACTGTGGTCTCCTTCACGGAACCGTACTGGCTGAAGATCTGCTTGGACAACTCGCTGGTGCAGTCCATGGGCAAGCCGGTGACGAAGAGCTCTTCGCTGGGAGGCGCGCTGTTGACGGCCGCCATTGCAATTGTCACGGAGGTCTGTCTATCGTGAAGCAGCCACCAACAGAGAACGACCAATGGCCAAGAAAACTGTTTGAAGATTCCTGATGCCTGTCTGGAACTTTGTAGAATCCCTGCAATGTCTGGGGAAGACATCTGCTGTGCCCCTTGAGAGCATTGTTGAAGCATGTTGATGATATCTGTCAAGGCCATGCCCATGCTCAAGGCAACAAGCAGTCCCCTACGAATGCTAGGAATACTAGGTGTTACGCATTTGCCAAAACCTTCAGGACCAGGAGTGTTCAGCCGCGCGTAGACTGGAGACACTGCCAGCCCCTTGACTCTAAGCCCCCTAAACCCCAAATTGCATGTGCATCTCCCAACAAAAGACGTCCCCCCGAATATACCCAACAAACACGACAGCCCTCGTCATATGGGAGCCCCCAAAACAGCATACCCTCCCGATGTTCGTAGACCCCGCACATCCAGAACAAGCTCGCAGGGCACACCTCGCCATCGTGAAGAACTCCAAGAAGGCGCAGGGAGCCATTGGGGTTTAGGGGGGTTAGGGCTGTGGCCCAAAGATGAGGGTATGCATTCCTAAAAGGGCATTGGTCTCTTCGGTTTCTGTGCTCTTCTGAATTTCGAAGAGGCCGTAAACATGCATTGCATTCCGAGAAACCCTAGGCCAAAACTATACAGAGTTCTCTGGGCGCCAAAAGCCTTTAGCCTTTGAAGCCTCAAGTCCCAAGCCCTCAGCCCTAAACCTTCGAACCTAAACCCAAGAGCGGCCCGCTCTAGACCCTAAACCCTACCGACGCCGCACCCCCAAACACCCAAACACCCAAACACCCAAACACCCAAACACCCAAACACCCAAACACCCAAACACCCAAACATCCAAACACCCAAACACCCAAACACCCAAACACCCAAACACCCAAACACCCAAACACCCAAACACCCAAACACCCAAACAGCCAAACACCCAAACACCCAAACACCCAAACACCCAAACACCCAAACCCCGCTGGCCTTCTACTTGTGGAAGCCAGGAGCTTGCTGGCTTCAAGGATTTGGGACTCCAAGGATCCCTCCTACTCATCTTAACAACCCCCCTACCTCGACGGTTCCATTCTCGTTTATTTTCGCATCGTGTGGGAGCATTTAATATTAGGGGATGGGCTTGTACGCAAACTTTGTAAGGGAGTGGTGGCTGCTCCGAAGCCCGCTTCTATCTCTTTTGCGCCCCCTGAGTTCCGCCAAGCGGCCCACTGATGAGAAGACCAGTCTGCCAGGTCCATTCCTGGCGGAAACCCTGAAGCTCCACTCGCTCCATTAGCTCCATTAGCCCTCCCTGTAGGTCTCTGTTTAAAGCCTCTTCCCTAGGAGGACTGCTAATCGGGCCTCAAACAAGAAATCCAGCCCTCAATTTCGTCAAATCATCTAATCCGGTCGCCTTCAACTTCGAAAGGCACGGGGGGGCGGGGGGCGGGGGGCGACGGGCCACAAACAAGAAGTTCCGCCCCACAATCTGGCAAATTTAAGACGTCATCCGGCCCAGTGGCATTTTGCTCAAGCAGAATGGACATTTATATGTCTTAAAGCTGCCACTCGAGCAAAGCAAGGCGGGGGATTTGAGGGGATGGCTTTCGAAAGCCATGTAAAAAATGAGAATTAAGGGGCTGGATTTCTCAATATTAATAAATTGAGGGGCTGGAGTTCTTATATCAGGGAGTTGCACGCACAAGTGCAGTCCTTCATGAGCAAACAGGCCGCCGGAGCACAGGCGGCGCGGAAGCCAAACAAAGATCCATCACCGTTGCTGCATCTGCAGAATCTACGCTCAACAGCCCGGGAGGAGTGGCGTAACGTCAGTGCTCTGACAAGGATATTCAAGCCTCTTCGCTGCGAAGCCAAGAAAGGGCAGGCACAAGCCAAGCACTACTCCGCACCACCTTGCCCGTCAGCACTCAGAATCCCCTCAAATCCCCTCCTGTCTTCAGCACAGCTCCCCAAAAAGGCCCCGATCTGCACAGCAGCTGAACATCAGCAGCTGGAACTCATGGCCATCTCAAAACCATCTCAAAACCATCCCCAGCCATTCCCCACCATCCCCCGCCAAGGGAAAGGACGAGCCCCGTTCATGCCACCCATCGTCACCCCCGATGCGCGCCAGTGCAGTGTCACAGGTGCCGTGGCAGACGCTTTCTCTGCAGCACCGGCGGCGAAGATGAGTTCGGGGTTGGAAGATTTTTGGTTGGGAGGGCCTTTGGGTTGTGTTACCAAACTCAACCCCAACTCATCTAGGGAAACGTGCCGCTCTTTGGACACGGCTGCGCCGCGCGTCACTCTGAGTCCCCTGGAGCCGATTTTGGGAAACTCCCTTTCTTCGGGCCACCCTCCGAAGCTCGAAGCTTCCGAAGCTCGAAGCTTCCGAAGCTCGAAGCTGCGGCCCAGAGGAAATGCTCAGCTCAGGGGGTTCTGCATTTGGCCTTGGGGCTTCGAAAAGGACTGCAGTTTGAGGAGTTGAGGAAGTTGTGGCTTGCGCAGCTTGCGCATGTCGAAGCCCCCGAGCTGAGCTGTCTTGCAAGCCATGTCTCAGCCTGCTCATCGGCATTCCCTTTTTCCCGCTGGCTCCCAGGCGTCAGAATTCCGCTCTTTCCAAATCCTGGAGCCGGGAATGGCCCACACCACTTAAACCCCAAAACCACTGAAACCTGAACCCTTTACACCCCATCACCAAACCCTGAACTCCTCCAGCACTACCACCCCCCCCCAATATTGAATACTCTCCACAGTATGTATATATGAACAATAGACATATGCGTAGACATACGCGCATACAGAGTATACTTCAGGGCACCAGCCGCAATTCGGATTGCCGAGGCGTCTCCGAGACGGCGAATTAGGAGCAGCAAAGAGGAGAGCAGATAATTCGGGTTAAAAAGGAAGCAGAAGGCCTCAAGCCCCCGCGCCCTCGGCCCCGCGTATGGGGGGGGGTCATGGGTTGCCATAGCGAGGCTCCATGGCCTCAGGAGGGTGGCAAGGGGAGGGGTTCTGGGTGGGGGTGACATTGGGGGGTTTGGGGATAAGGGTGTGTGCAGGGTTGAGGACTGGCTTGGATCCAAACTGCCCATCCGCATCCAAACAGCGAAAAGGAGAAAGAGAGCACGTATATTCTGGCGTCCCCAAAGGCCCCAGCCGCCCCCGCCGCCCTAGCCCCAGAAGAGTCCAAAGGTCCGGCCTGCTCATCGGCATTGGAAATCCAATGGTCCGAGTGGCCGCCCTCGACTCCCTGACACAGCGGCAAGGTGAGATCGAACCCATTGGAGACAAAGAGGCGCTTAGGCGCTTAGGCGCTTTTTCAACTGTTCTTCGAACCCTCCTTGATTATTCCATGTGGGGCCTTGTCACCGGCACCCCTGAAAAACCCAGAGCCCTCTGTGAGCCCTCCCCAAACATCCTCGGGGGGGCGCCTTGGCCACCAGGCCCAGGTCGTCTCCGGGACTCAGCCTTTCAATTGGACCACAACACGACGACACGCGCGACAATTGGGGGCCACTTGGGGGGCCCTCTACACTTTAAGGAGCTCCATGGGGCCGCATTTAGGGCTTGGAGCTTTTGAGGGCTTCGGGTTCAGGGCGAATTTTGAGACCGCCAAAAAAAAAAGCCTCCAAATCAAACTCAGAAGAATCTGCCTCAGCAAACGACGCCTGTCTGCACCCCAGCAGGTGCTCTAAACAATGGTCTTCTGAAAGGAGAAACCTTCCATAATGGGACTCCTTTTGCAAAAGGGTCCCCTTAAATTTGACCGTGGTGGAATGGTGGATGGACGAAATCTTGCACCACCTTTCAAGCAAGACCTCTGGCACCGCACCCCCTTTTTAACACTGGCAGGCGTTGCTTTCCAGGTGGTGCAAGATTTTGGTCATTGGAACAAGTCAGCGCCGAAGCCTGTCCAAAGCCAATAGCCAATGTTAAAAAGGGGGTGCGGGTTTTTTGGCCAATTGCATGGCTCAAAACCGGTGCAAGATTTCGTCCACCCACAGAATGACATACACCAAGTGGAGACATCCTTCATCTTGGAACTAGCCATATGTGTGGGGACATATCCCTCTGCGCATCAGCATACAAAATGCATGGCCGAGGGGTCCTAGAGCTCTGAACCCTATAAAGCCCAGTGCAAGTGAGAGGCAGCACCAACTCTGTGCAGTCCCGCCCACGAAGCTGACCGTTGTAAAGGTACTCCTGCAATTTGGCAGAAGGCCGAGTAGGCCCAGCAGGCTACCAGTAGGCCCCTCACGCTGAGCCAACGTGGCCAAGTGGTCCATGAATGAGGGCTCATCTCCCAAAAGAAGGTCCTTGCCCATGAGCTTCTGATGCCACTCAATGAGCATCCGCATCATCGTGGTCGGAGTCGGGGACCCAAGTGCCCTCGGTGGAGAGAGCAGAAGTGGAAGCTCCTAAAGCCACACCCTTGGTTTGTTTGTTGCAACTGTCTTGGGAGGGTTGGGGGAGGGTTTGAGTGAAGGTTTGCAAGACCCAGGAGGAGACTATCTCATCCTGCGGTCCTGCGTAGCCTACGTAGCTTTTCCCTGTTTCTTGGGCTCGAGAGAGGCAAGGTGCTGAAGGCGCTCGGCGATGGACACCAGGACCTCAGCTGTAAAAAAACGGGACCACCATTCCCCGACTCAGCCCTTGAAATTTCTTTGAAAGGGCTTGCCGGTACCTAATTCCCGAAGTCCCTACTAGCAACCAGCAAAGATAACTTCTGAGAATCCTTTCAACAGGCGATCACTTCGCTCCGAGCTCCGGGCGCAGAGGCCCCAACCGATGTCATCGGTGACGACGCGGTGCGTCGGGTGCGGCATCACCTGGGCGGACTTTGGGAAGCCCAAGGGGAGGGCTCGAACTCGCGGCTTCCCACTCCTTGCTGCCCAGCTGCGCCCTGCTTGCTTCGAAGGACGGGCGTCCTGACTCTCTCAGGACTTCTCTCTCAGGACTTCTCTAAGTGTGTCTGGCTCTCTGTCTCTCTTGAAGGATTCGAAATGCTTCTCTTTGTTGGCCTCGAAGGCTCTGTCTCTTTTGAAGGATTCGAAATTCGTAGGGTTCATAGGATTTCAGAAGCTCAGGGTGTGGGGTCCGGCCTCGCCATGGAGTAAGCTTTGTTGGTGCCAACCATCTTGGCCATCGTGGACCTTGACTTACTCGTTCTTCCAAAAGAGAAAAGTCGGGAATTAGGTATAGTACCTTCCATCCCCCTTTATGACCGTTTAAGGAATTAGAGAGGGACTCGATTTCTAATTGCCCAGTAAGGACCGGCAAGTCCATCATGCCTAAGTGCTTTCTAATGTACTTAAGATGCCCGCATCTTCTGTTGGCACAGGCGACGTTCTGTGATGCATCAATGACATCGGTTGTCACACTACGGCAGGCATGTAAACTCGAAGTGCTGAAGTAGGACTGCGATGCGCTCACATAATTTCATACACGTTATCTTATGGTGATGAGATCCTGTTTGCCTAGAAGGATGTAAAATGCTTGACTTCCTGGTCTACAGATCCCTGCCTGAGCAAGCCACTTGCCTCCGGAAGGATGAGAGGCTTCTCGCCATTCTTTAGCTAGGTCGTAGTTTGCCGTCACCGTTGTTCGTGTCACCTGTCTAGCTATGGATCGAACTCAGGCACCTTCTGGTGCTGTTTCTGCATCATCTTCAATCTTGTGTGACCGGTTGCCCCGGCTTGCAAGAAATCACGCTACTGTAAGATGAAAGACCAGAGTGCCAGCAGAGTTTGGTGAGTGATCTAGCAGCGTGCAATGGCTCTTGCCTAGATACATTGAATATATACCTGGCAAGCGGCATACACAACTTGCTATTTCTGCGACCCCAGAGTTGCCCCTTGGGGAGCCGGCTTATCAGCGATCTGATCGCCGTATTGCTCCAGCAGGCGTGTTGCCAAGGGAATGACATGTTGGCCTCAGACAATCACTTGGGATTTCGCACTCACTGCAGGACCGCAGAATGGCACAACCCACTCCACGCTTCAAAAGAGCGCTCAGCCGACCAGAACCCTCACATGAAACGCCTTCCACCCAAGCATCACCACAACCTGGACTGTTAGATTGCCAAACTCGATCCCCAATCCCACAAAAACGCGCGAGGGTCTGAGCCCCAAACCCTAAAGGCTCTACAGTCCCCGAAGTCCCTGACGTCCCTGAAGTCCCTGAAGTCCCTGCCTGAAGTCCTTCAAAAAGGAATCCCCCCGAGGCCCGCGAAGTGGCCCTCAGGGCTTGGCAGCCCTCGGCTCCCGTGGCCCGGAAGTAGGCGTTCTTAAGATGTTGCAGCTCCTTCCCATCGGGTTCACACGGGGGCGTTAAGGAAGATCCAGAAAAGTAATCAAGGAGGTGCGACAAGAGGTGCACCACCGCACAAACCCCAAAAAGACACCTTTCTACAGATTGGAAGAAGGAATTTGCTGCCGATTAGGCGGGCTCCAGCCTCGTCGAGCACTTCCAACACCTGTCCAGCTGTCTCGTCCTGAGCCCAGTGGCGCAGTGGCCCAGTGGCCCCGAAGTAACAATCAAGTTGGGTTGGCCCGGAGATCCGCCCGACTGGGGCCCCAAACCATGTCTCTGTAAAGCCACTCTGGCGGCTCCATGTCCTGGGGATTGCAGGATTCTGCAGATTTCTTTGGCTCAGTTGCTAGTTGCACAACTCAAGGCACACTCCCCAAACCCTCCAAGAAAGGCCACGTCCTTGCCAAGAGGCCTCAGTTGAGGGCTCGTAAGCTTCTCTCTTCCGCACTTTCCGACCATCCAGGTTCCCTTACAGCTTGGAGCTCTTCGCAAGCTCTTCGCAAGGTTCTCGGCGGCTCTCGGCACCCTATCTCCTCGTCTCAGCGCACCTCAGCCCCCGGCTGGCCGTTCCAGTTTCGGAACATGGCCCAATAGCGTGCGGGGTGAATGATCTGGTTGGCCGGATTGAAAACAATCGGGCCTCGGCTTCAAGTGGCGGTGGATGGCGACGGGGCAACCACTTCGAACCACTCAGCGGCTTCCATTTGATGACAACTTTAACTGAAGCTTTTGCGCAGCTCAGCGCTATGTGACCAAGACAACGATCCAACGATTCCCGTGGACCCTAAGGACCCTAAACTTGCCCGAAACAGTGACAAGAAGGGGCCCCAGGCAGAAGTCTGGAAGCAGCTCGATGACCGGCTCGTGCTTCCTGCTGGGGCTTCGGAGGGCCCTTACAACCTGCAACTGGGCTGACAACCCATGACAACCCCCAAAACTCTACAACTCTCCAAGTCTTTGAGGCGTTCTGAAAAGAGTTTCAGCCGCAAGGTGTCCCCATCTTCTTGACGAGGAAGAGCGGCTCCAGCTGTGTCTTTACCTCTCTTTGGAGGGTGCAATTATTCGCAGTGCTGGGTTTGAATTGCCAGCAGCCTGAGAATACAAAGGGCGCTCTTGCTTGCTTAATGAGGCTGATAGGGGGGGGGGCCTAAGTTTAAAAAGGAATAAGTTAAGCCTTTTGTGGTAAGGTCTTGCTGAGCTTCAGGCTTGTAGGCGTTCGCGTCAGCACTGTTCTGATGATTTGCCTTCAGCCTCCTCGATCCCCACACCCCAAGCTTGCAACCCCTCGTCCGCTCAACCTCCCCTACACCTTAGCTCCCCCCTTCGAAAACCAGTTGCCAGAACAGGCGCTTGCAATTCCAGCGCCCCCTTAGACAATTCCCGCAGCTCTAAAGTCTAAGCCCCAGGCCCACTCTTCGGTGAGGTTCATCGTCATGACGCCTGGGACACCCCTTATCATACCCCTGAAAGGGTTTTAGACCTTCAGGAGGGGTAGCCTGGGGGCATCCAAATTTAGGCAGAGGGTCTCCATCAGAAACGTCTCCCCTGGCAGCTTAGGAGTGAAGGCTTTTTGGGTATCACTAGGAGCCACCCTCCACAGAAGCGGGGACCTCCAAAAAAATAGGAGTACCCCTTATACACCCCCAAGTGCTATCATGCTTCTTAAAGGAACCCCCCCCAAAAAAAAAGTAATAGGTTAAACCTGAATTCCCTAAACCCCATTAAACCCCTCAACCCCAAACGTAAACTGGCCAAACTCCCCTCCTCCCTCCCCTTTAAGTGGCTCAACTAGAGGGCCCTCAATTTGAGAGCCGAGGCACCGATGCAGCTTTTCGCCCCGACAATCTCGCTCTCGGAGCCCACCTCTGGGGTTTCCAGGTGTAAAAAGAGGGGGACTCCTTTTAAGAATCAACTCTGCGGATCCACATAAACGACTCCAGAAAAAAAGCGGGGATCAAAAACACCAATTAATCCCGCAGGGTCTTGGCTCGCAAGGGCACCAAGCGTAAACTGCAGCAGTTCTGCCTATCAGCACGCTCCGAGCGCTGCAAAGTGCAGCGTTTCTGCCTCTTCTCAGGCTCCAAATATTGTAAAGCACGGCATCTCTGCCTTTTCGAAGGCCGCCTATTCGCAAGCTCCAAATATTGAAAGTTGCAGCTGCAGAGATGGCCACTTACAGCATTTCCGACTTGTTTGCAAGCTGCAAACACAGCAAGTTATAGCATTTCTGCTTCTTTGCAAGTTAAAAGCAGAGTTTCGCAACAGTGTTGGTGGTGGGGGTTGGTGGGGGTAGTACGGGTTGGTGGTGGGGGGGGGGGGGGGGTGACTTGGCTTCGCCAATGTGCTCCTTGAAAAATGCCTTCGCTCCATCTTCATATTCTGCTCGGTTGACCCTTGTTGAGGCTAGGGCTTTACTGAGACGGACACTGTTGCACATGGGGCCTTGGCCGCCTTTGAAAACCTGTGACTGCAAATTAGGCAGAACGCTGTACAGAAAGCTCTAAGAACCAAGACCCTGTCGGTTTAGACCTTCCTTGCTGCCTGCCTTCCTTCCTTCCATCCTTCCATCCTTCCAGCCATCCAGCCTTTCATCGTTCCATCCTTCCCTTTCCTTCCCTTTCCTTCCCTTTCCTTCCCTTTCCTTCCCTCTTTTTTTTCTTGTTCCCTTCCTTGTTCCTTTCCTTTTTCCCTTTCTTTTTCCTTACCTTGTTCCTTTCCTTTTCCTTTCCTGTTTTTCTTTTATATTTTTCCTTTCTCTTTTTCCTTTCTCTTGTTCTTTTCTCTTTTTCCTTTCTCTTTTTCCTTTCTCTTTTTCCTTTCTCTTTTTCCTTTCTCTTTTTCCGTTCTCTTTTTCCTCTCCCTTTTTCCTTTCCCATTGTCCTTTCCCTTTGTCCTTTCCTTTTTTCCTTTCCTTTCCTTTCCTTTCCTTTCCTGATTTGACTTTTGCTGATCTTCACTTGCTCACTTATTGACCTCTATATTAATACTGATCCTTATTTAGTGTTTTTCGGTCCGTTTGGTTTTGGGGTTTGGGGTTCAGGGTTTCGAGTTTGAGTTTTGGGGTTTGGACGGTGTTGAGGGCTCCGGTATGCTTTTGGGGCTTGGAGGGGCTGTAGCGGACAGCGAGGGAAGTGGATTGCTTTCAGGGCTTCGCTGTGGGATGGCTGTGAGCATGTCTAAAAGAAGAAACCCTATAACCCTCACACGAGACCCTCAAACAAGAAGTCGCAGCCCTCGGGCGCCTTCACCACTCGGCAGAGCCAAGGGATGTTGCGGAGGGCAAAGAAGCCTGCACTAGGAACTACATTCCCGCAAAGCGCAATACCCTTTCACTCACAAAAATGCCCGAGAGGTGTGCTAGGTCGTTCACCGGCTTCACATAGCATCACATGATAGATAAAGATAATCGTTTAAGCTCATGGTTTTGTGTTTCTAATCTTACTTACTGCTGTATTGGCTTGAAGTCTCTTAGAGCTCTTGAAGGTCCTCAGATTGCCGGCTAGGAGTGGGGGGGGGGTGACTTCAGGATGAAAGACCGAAGAGAGCCCAGAGAGCCCAATACCCCAAGCTGAGGGGAAGGTTCCCGTTGCATCAAGTTGGGAGCCATGTGTGATGTGGATGCCAAGGGCCCCGCGCACGCCAGGCCCAAAGGTGCGCTGAGCCAAGACATGCACCAGGCCTCCACGGGAGTTCTGATTCTACAGAGCTGCTCCGCCACACAATCGCTACGATTGGCTACGATCGGCTACAAGTACCCCCTCCGTTCTGTTGAGAGGCTTCTCTGGAGGGGTGAGTGGGCTTCTTTTCTCTTCCACACATGTAAGAGGCTCAGTGGCTCAGCGGCTTGCTGAGAAACGGGGGTCGAGAGGGCTGAAGCCGTGCCTTGTGCAAAGATCGTGCCGATGCAAGTCTTCCGCGGATCCAGGTATGGCCGCAGGTTCTCAAAGACTTCCTGTGGCAGGTTCAAGGCCTATCTGCAGTCGAAGACGCTGACAGGTACTGAGAAATTCTCGGAAGAACCTGATACAATCTGATACCTGAGCTGCCTTGGTGCTGGTCACTGGCCCAGTCCAAAGGACGATGTCGGAGTTCGGAATGAGCCTGAGATGCTCCCAGGGATTCCCACGGTATCGCGCACTCCCGCGACAAAAGCTTCTTCAGATGATCCTAGATCAGCGATATCAGCGTGTACCCACGTCCTGGGACCCTTTCTCACGTACCGAGGGGCTCCGCAGGATTTCGGGAGACACGGTGGAGGACGCCCTCCTGAGGTCAGGGTTTTGGTCTTCGAAACGTCATAGCAGGTTTGGGGAAATCTTCGGGGTTTAGGCTTGGCTCTGGCCCCTGGAATCATGGTGGGATGTCCAATTTGCATACCCGGCATACCCACGAGCTGCCAGCCTGAGTCTGTCCGTCAGGAAAGCGCACCTCGGCAGCTTTTGCCGCATGCCGCACTACCCGACACTCACGCGTGCTGCAGTTGCTTAGCTCCAATGCGCGTGCTGAGCAGGGCTCGCCCAGAAAAAAATTGTGTGTGTGTGTGTTGGGCGGAGTTGGCTGGGCGTTGGGCCGCCTGAAAAAGCCTCAAACATTTACACAACGTCCGGCCCCGAGGACAGATCAATTCCATCTGGTAAAACTTAGGCCCAAAACACCCAAACCCCCTAAACCATCTGAACGCCAACTTCTCTGCACCGTCCCAAATCCCCTGAACCCAAAAGGAACCCTCTCAACTTCAGGGGAGGAGTAGGGGAAGGCACCAGTGGCCGCGAGTTGGAGAAGAGCTCCGGTCGACTCGTCAGCAGCTGCACCTTGACGCGGCCTGCGCCCCCGCAGCAGATGTTTCGACGAATGAGGGTGCAGGGCAGTGTAGGGGCTGAGGGAGGTTTGGGGAAGTCAGGGTTGCTCTCTGTTGTTAGGTCTAAGGTTGTTGGGGGAAGATCGGGAAGTTGAATGCAAGAAAGTTAGGTCTGGAGAGGGACTTGAAGGTGCTGAGGCCTTACAGCAGTGAGCAAGAACCTCAGCGCCAGATGACTGCCTAGTCAGAGGTTCGACGTTGAATAAGGGTTCAGGGTGCCGGGTTAAAACCCTGAGGAGGAAAGGTGAGTAGGGCGAATCAGTGAGTTTCCGGGATCAGGATTTTTGGGTGTGGGACTGACCGTTCCGGGTTTCGAGCATCGCCACCCCCGAAGACTTCGCGTGGATACGCCAACATTGTTTATGCCCAGGCCTCACAACGGCACTGGAACGTGCGATGTCACGGCATTGTTGAACACTTTTTTGCCCCTCACAGCTTCTGTCCCCGAGTACTGCTGGAGGCTGTGCTCAGCTCGGGCGCCCATATCTAGACGTCTTTCAATCTTCTGAGCGGCAACACCATGTGACACCAAGTAACACCATGCAAACACCGGGTTCCAAATCCAGACCTGGGGCGAGCCCTGAAGCATTCTGAGGCTTCCTAGGATTGGTGAGACGTTAGGCAGGCATGAGAAGTGGCTCTCATTTGATGTCCTGGTCTGCTCAGGTCGTGACAGTGTGGGTGTGTGGCTTCAGCGGACACTAGCCGGCTCCATTGACTGCATCTGATATGGGTCTTTTCCTGCATGCGAAAACTGAATCACCCGCCAAGACGAGAGTGAGTGTGTGTGTGTGTGATTGATACTTTCTTCGCTGAGTATTTTCTCAGGCCTGCCCAACTGCGTCAGGAGTTCTCAGCTGCTCCAAGGGCACTGATACACAGTCCTGGGTGCTGCAAACTTTCTGAAACAAGCCCTGCTACGTAGTTTCCAGAATTCACATGCTTGCGAACTCCCAACAGGAACTGGGACGAGCTGCGGAGAGCTTTCGCACCCCACTCCCGACATTTGAGGACATCTTGCGACATGCAGCTTGCTGCTTTGTTTGTCGGCTTCCCGCAGCTTAAGCCCAGCGACGTGATGCGCGGACATGGCGGAAGATGCTGCGCGCATCACGTGACATATGTACTGAGAGAAGCTCAAACTTGGCTCGTTAGCTTTCTTAGCTTTCGGAAGGCGGGGCGGCGATCGACTGCCCATCACTTGCGGGACACTCGGACTCCAATCGGTTATCAAATTTGTACTGTACAGCAAGGTCGAGCATGGTCGACCTCTGGCTTAGCAACCGATCCTGCACGTAGGTCCGAGAAACGCGCCACACCACACCTCCAACCCCAACCGCCGTCAGCGCCGCGACGCTCCCGACCACGGCTGCCCCTACCGCAAGGCTGCCCATGACGCTCCCCCCGCCCAGAGTGGCCAATCCACTGAGCATTCCCGAAGCCGAAAGCCCTGCGATTGTCCCGGACTCCGACACCATCAGCAGCCCAGCAGTGGAACCAGCAAGGACGCCCCCAGCACCGCCGAGGGCCACCACCTGCGGAGTCAGCGAGTCATTCTCCATGGCGCTGCTGAGCTTGTAAAGGCTTGTGGCAGCGAGCATGGAAGGCGCGGAGGCGATCACCACCACCAAACCTGCACCCATGCCAAGCCCGCCGGCCCATGTTAGGCCCCCAGCTGCCAGGGAGGACGCACCGAACAGGCCGTCGGCCGTGGTGGCGGTCAAGGCAACTTTGACGCCCTCGGTCGACAGCAGCATGGCTATCCTCCACATGTCGATGGAGGCATCGATGATGGCTTTGGCTGCCTCCTTGGTGGAACTCCGACTCCGACCCAACAAACTTCAAGTTCCAAATCGCACCCGAATTGCGGGGGAGCTGGGGGAGGCGGGAGGGTTGGTCCCACTTCCCGAGGTCTTACCCCAAGCACCCGAAGTCCTTTGCTCGAACTGGAGGAGGGTTGTGGAGGGTTCATTTAAAGTGCTGCATCCCAGCAGCGAGGTGCTCATCTGCCACGAAGGCCCAGATCGAGTTGGACTCCGTCAGCCAGATAAACCTCTTTTCGATGACTTCGACTTCTTCGCTGGGGCTTTTGGCTTCCTCTGTAGCGGTAATCATGATAAGGATGCTGAAAATGAAAATAACAAGAACCGTCTGAACACTCGTAAATGTAGGAGGAAGCACATCTCGATCTCGAAATCTCGAGATCTTCATGGCTCACTGACGCCCCGGGCCTCTTTTCAACTCTAGGCCCCTAAAGCCCCTGAACCCCAAACCCTTCTCTGAACCCCAACACGCAAAACAAACCTGTGCAAAAAAAAACCTCCCCGAAGCGTGCACCGAAGCGGGGCTTCCCGGAGGCACTCCGAAAAGCAACTTCTGGGTACCAGAAAGCCATCATGAAAAGTCTCTAGTGAAAAGCCAAATGCCAACGACTAAGAATAGCCGTAGTGACCCCAAGAATCATGGCCAACTTAGCTAGCAGAGTGATGATCCTGGCCAGGGGCGTGCCCTCGGCGATCTTCACGAAGCCTTCGGCGTCACTGACCGCCTGCAAGCCCGCAGCATGCCGCGTACACAAGACAATCACTTCAAGTACAAACGTTAGCACTCAGAGTAATGATGCTGATTGAGAAACGACCACTCATGGTACATCCAGTGGAAACGATTTCACAAAAACATACCACCACAAAAAAATCCTCCCAAACGCGTAGAACTCGCGAAGCCCTGGGCTCGGCCTTGTCCACCATGCCATACCGCAGCTCCTTCGAGTCCTGAAACTCGTCGAACCCCGAGCTTACTGGGGTTCAGGGCTTCAGGCTTCATTCCAGATCAAAGCTGCCAGGATTTGCGCCAATCCGCTTTGCAGCGCCCCCCCGGACCACAAGCCCTGATCGATTCTACAAGGGCACCAAGGGTTGGCACCATCCTTGTGGAGGAATTGGATGACGGATCCCTCCTGGGCTCAGTGGAACCCTGCTTGAGCAGGGCTTTGCAAGTTCATGACACCTGCAGCTACTAGTGAGGCTACTGGCATAGAAAGACAACAAACCCTCTAGGCCCCCCTCTAGGCCCCCACACACTCGGGAAAGCCAAGGTCGCTGTTCAGAGTTCAGACCCTGTAATTGCAAGAACTAGCCTCCGCAAATAGATAGACCGACCCTGCAGCCCGCCCCCCCGCGCCTTGAAAGAGGTCTTCGAGTAACTCTCGTACCATGTCTTACCTCAAGAGTCTCTCATGGTCCACAACTCGAACCTGCTTCCGAATTCTGCGCCCTGTGTACTTCCGAGGGCTAACAATACCCGGCAGCTCGAACTGTTTCTTGCCGACAGCCCTGCATGTTCCTTGATACTCTCTACAGGTAACGATGAGAATGTTTTTGTGTTCTGGGCCACCGTCTCCTTGAAAGACGATCGCTGCATCCCTGGAAGGCACCACTGAAGAAATGTCCGGGTGCAAAACAGCGATGGGCTCATTTCGCCACTTGCTGTACTCACTGTACTCCCACCTCAAAACAATTTGAGACTGCGACACCCTGAGACTTGACCCAAGGAAACCCCGAATCTGATCATGGTCTTTCGCTGCCTTGACATTTACCACGCATACGGTTTTTATCCAGAAGCCCAACATCCACAACACGCCCAGCTCTGCACTCTTCCCAAGCCCTGTCTCCAAAATAGTTCTTAACTTCGGGCTTCCCTTATGGGCAACTTTTCTGATACATCCTTTGCAAGTAAAGATAGGCTCATGGTTCAGAGTGAGCCACAGACTTCCTCCCACATCGCTCGGCGGCGAAGCGCCAAATGGCTGTAGCAAGAACACCCCCAAAACCTTAAATCCTAAACCCTGAACCCTGGACCCAAAGCCTAAACCTCAGAAAAGAACACTGGGCTACTTTTTGTGTTCGCTGAGTTGAAAACACTCCCGGGGAAAGACCCGATGATGTTATGGTGCGTACGACCTTGCTTTCGAAGTGACTTTAGAGGGACTTGAAAAGTTGCGGAAGATGAGGGTTCGCTTTGGGGATTTCGGGCGTTTGGGTTGTAGGGTTTAGCGTTTAGGGTATACACTGAAAGCCGACTTCTACCCTGACTCGCCCTGCACGCTGGGAGCCAAGCCTTCAAAAAGCGAAGGCACAAAGCTGGGTCATTGCTAAGGAACCTACATGCATAGTTGCCCTAACACTGAACCTGAACCCATACTTGACCTTTTTGTGGAAACTTACCTTCAATTCCTGGACAGCAAGACAAGACGGTACAAGCTGCGACAGTGCTGCAATTACTGAGCTTTGGCACGAAGGTTTCGGTAAAGGTAAAGGCTCTTTTAGGAGACAAACCTCACATCGGGGGCGCCTTGCGGGGCTTTGGGCTGATTTTTGAATTGGGGAGAGAGAGCCCCGGGCCAGCAGGCTTCCTGCCCGCCGCAGCATGGCACGGCCGTGACAGGGTGTTTTTCACCAATTTAATCCTTTTAAGGGCTTCTACGGGACTCTATAGGGTACCTAACTCCCTCATTCCCTATTCCCTACTAAGAAGTAATTTAAGGGGTCCTTTCCAAGAATTCAGCGAGCTCTCCCCGTCGGCCTCCTGTGTTGCCATCGATCAAGGCCGCACAGACGTGGCCTCCCCGCTTTTGGCGCAAGTGCGTTCTCGGTTGTAGAGGAGTTGTAGAGGAGTTGTAGAGGTCTGATGTCGCAGGCGAACTGAGCCTGTACAAACACCTAATTCTCGGATGCTTTCAGGAATCCCTACAAGCGCTTCTTCACGCTGCCCTCCATGACTCTATGCCCCTGGTGCTCTGCTGCAGAGTGGCCACTGTTGCCCGCAGCGACCAGGGTGACGATCACAGAAGGCGAGCTCTCGCCTTTCATGGTACAACAAGACACTGAGAGCAATCTCCGTCATCTTTAACTAACTTCAATCTGGTTATAGCGAACTACAGTAGCTGTGCATAGGCCCACTCGGGAGCGCCCATGATCTCCCCAGGTCCTTCTGCAGAGCTGCACGGAGCTGGGGCCACCTAAAAGAAAAAAAGAGCAGGAAGCTGGGAAGGAATGGTTTTGAGCTTCATTTCGTGGATGTATGCGGGCCATAGCTCGGAGGCTGAAAGGTTTACTTCGGAACAAGTCCAAGGGTAAATGAAGGTGCTAATTTGAGTGCACGAAGAGACGGGGTACTGTGATCAAAGGCCTGAGCTGGAAGGAACGAGATGGGAAAGAAAAATGAAAAGATCCGTATCTTGGATCAACAGGACTCTGTTCTTAACATTTTTGCACAGGTGCTCTGAAAACACATGAGTAACTGTATAGAGGACAGACCTGAACCCAACCGCTGCTTTCCGTGCCCCGCCTGTTCGCAGAGGCGCCGCAAACGATGCGCCATGGGTCAAAGCTGCTGCTGTGAGGCTTTGAGGCTTTCGGGCTTTGAGGCTTCCACGGGTTCGTGTCCGTGTGGGTGTGATGGGGTCTGAGCCTATCTGAGCCTTTGCGATGTCCCATTTCTTTTTGGCACTTGAGGGGCATCAGCGGCGGAGCAACTCTGGCGACCCCTTCAACGAAGCACCCTTTTCAATCCTGCTGGCCAGAACCCTCCAAGGGTCCAAGCGCAGCTGGCAGTCCCGCTTCCGTCTGCGATGCGACATGGTAACATATGGCAACTACCAGTCGGATGTGCCCTACTTGTGGATTCAATCTTTAACATTCATGACAAGCGCCCGTTGATGGTTGCGGCGGGCTGCACGCCTGCTCCAAAACTGTCTGCACATGGCATGCCTTTTCTCGCCATCCAGTAGCCTCAGCATGAGATGTCAGTTCTTTCGAAAGGGTCTAGCAAAACAGAGCAAAGCAGGAGTCCCCTCCAAGTCTTAAAGAAACTTCAACTTTTGCAGGCGTTTCCAGTTCAGTCCTGGTCCTGCTTCTGTCTGCTTCGCTTGGCCCTTCCAGCCCCGCAGACTCTGACGCCTCCCCCGCTCAGTGATCGCGTCACTGCTCCAAGTCCCAAAAAAACACAGCACAAACTAACATTGCCAATGCTACTGAGTCACTACAAATGCTGGTAGCTGGAACCTTCGGCGCTTGTCATCTCAACCCGAGCTGTTTGCAAGCACCAACAGACGACCCCCCTGAAAGCAAAAAACAAATGAGGCCTTTAAGCATCTACTACTCGTCATCATCCATGTCATCCGAGCCCTGCGCGCGATTCAGTTCTCAAGAGAGTTGGGAATGGGGGCCCAAGTGCCTGGGGGCCTAGACCTGAGGGGTTTCGATGGTTCTGGAGGTTAGGGATCTTTGCTGCAGGAGAAGTCACATCATCTGCTCCAGATTCCTGAAGCGTTTTTGTGTTGTTGGGTACCTGTAGGAATGGGCACGACCCCCCCCCCCCCCCCCCCCGATTATGCAACCTGCAATAGCCTCAGCCTGCATCAGAGTTGTTGAACCTCAATCGCGGAGAGCACGTGCCTCGGAGAACTCTCCATCTTCTGCATCTTCCGCATCGTCTTGGCAAAGAGACGGGTGCCCAACCCAAACCGGAATGCTCGAAGCCACGAACATCAAATCCACTGAAATTCGCACATGGTTACCATTGTCCTGGGCCATCAAACGCATGATAAACACAATAATGCACCCCTTCAGATCGCTTCGGCTCCCTCAGAGCAAGCGGGCTCTCCCTGTCTCATGTTTGCAAGGTACGGAAAGGGATGAACCAAGAACCCTTGGAAAGGAGCGAAGCGCCATGCTGGCGCGCGCCCGCCCTCCGACCCCAGCGTAATTTCGCTCTCAAGGTTTGTCTTTACTCTATTTGGCACTCAGTCTGAAGCCACTATCCGGATGATGGGCTCAGACCGGGTGGAGTCGGATGCGGGGGTGGGCACTGCAAGCCTTCTTTTGAAATTTTCTGAAGCCCGAAGCAGTGGGATGGAAAGGCCGTGACATCGGGTAAGCGGAAGAAGCTAGAGAACAGAACAAACTTGCGCAGCCACCTTCATCGACATCTACGTCGTCAACTGGTTCGCCCGCTGCCAACTTCCTGCAGGTTGGCACAAGAAGGGCTCACGCTTCGACACTCGAGAAGGCTTCAGAAGCTTCAGAAACTTGGGGAGTGGTCTATGGAGTCTATGGCTATGGGTCTCAATCAAGAACACAAACTCCTTCCACACTCTCATCGACTTGCATAAAGCCATAAAGTGTAAAAACCCGAAACGCGTAAAAGAAACAACCCACTACACCCCTGAATCAAGCCCTGCGGCCCCAAAAGCCAAAAAATCCTACAGCACTGAACCCTAAAACCCCGCAGTGCCCTAAACCCGCCCCCCGCCCCCCCGCCCGCCCCCCCAAAAAAATGGAAACACACACACACACACACACACACACATCGCTGATTTGTTCAACCTCAAGGAACCCCTAACATCCTCAAAGATCCCAACCCCCTCAGAGATCCTAAACACCCTAAAGGCTCCCAAAGGCCTAAAACCCTAAACCACCCAAAACCCTAAAGCCACAAACGCTCCCCTCCCTCCCTCCCTCCCTCCCTCCTTCCCCCCCCCAAAAAAAAAAAGGACTGAAACCCCCAAGCAACTGTTAAAAGCGACTTCAGGAAGAACCTCGACAGCGGTCCACGGAGCCCCCGCCCCGCCGGGTCCTCAGCGCAGTCTCCTTCACTGCCAGCTCAAAGCGGCCGTTCCTGTGCTTCGGGGCTTCGCAGGGGTTTCGGGCGGGCTCCAGAGCTTCAGGGCTCTTGGCGGCCTTAGGGGGCTTCAGGGGGGCTCAAGGATTTTGGGGCTTGAGGGCTTTGAGGTAGCTTGGCAAGGATTTTGGGCTAGCTGTGGGGCGAGGGTAAATTGGTGCCTTCTTCCGGGATTTCAGGGGATTCAGGGGTTTGGCCTTTAGGTGGGTTTTATGACGAAACACAGAAGCCAGAAGCTACTTAAAGGCTGAAACTTGCAACGTAGGTGGCCCAATGTCAGAGATTGAAGCCAACATACGAATGGACACTGACACGAATTTGACAAACAAAAACAGATACCACAAATTCGGAAGTCCAAAAGTCAAGCAAAGCCTAAAACTTAAGCCGCGACAAAAGGAGCAGCATCCCCCCTTAAACCCCTAAACCCCTAAACCCCTAAACCCCTAAACCCCTAAACCCCTAAACCCCTAAACCCCTAAACCCCTAAACCCCTAAACCCCTAAACCCTAAACGCCCCACCCCTAAATGCCTACGACCTATAACCCGTGACCCCAGTGCAGTTTGCCTCTCGAGCAAGATCTGGTGGTCCGTCAGCTCGCTCAGCAGGCGCCTTGAAATTGCTCTTGTCGTCTCCTTTTTGAACCCTCGCGCTATAACAAGCGCCCACCTTGGGACTATGCGTACATGCGTCTACATACATGTATCGGGGGCACCCCTGACTTGCGCATGTTCCGCGGACTGGACTTGTGGTTCTGCCAGAAACTATGTACAGACTCCGGGCGATGATGCACCGACCTGAAGCTCACAAGGACGCCTAACTTCTCCGAGCCTTCAAGAATTGCGGGTCAAGACTGCACGCATTGAAAGTCCGGCTTGCGATTCAAAAGGCTCACAACTTCCAATCGACCTCTGCTGGAAGCTAGTTGCAGAGCAGTGGTGCCCTGGTTGTCGGCCTTGTTTTCGTCGGCACCGGCTTCCAGTAGCATTCGCGTGATCTCCAGGCGCCCTTTGCCAGACGACACCATCAGAGGCGTTCTGCCTTCGCGACTTGCAATGTTCGTGTCGGCACGGGCACTCAGCAGCAAGCGCACCGTCTCCACACGACCCAGGAAGGACGCGAGCTTAAGAGCTGTGGTGCCCTCCAAGTCCCGCTTGTCCTTGTCGGCCTTGGCCTCCAGCAGAAGCCGTGCCACCTCCACGTGGCCTCTAGCAGCTCCAGCACATGCCCGCATCAGAGCGGTGCGGCCTTGATAGTCACACGTGTCCACCAAGTCCACCAAGTCCACCGTGCCCTTGTCAGCACAGGCGTGCAACAACCGCTGCACCATCTCCACGTTGCCATCTCGAGACGCCGCAACAAGGCTCATGCCAGAAACGGAGTGCTGCCGCGCCACTATGGACGTGTCCTGCAGGGCAGGATCAGCTCAGGCTTAGTCGCTATCGCAACTGCCCATAACCCCTCCCCCGCTGCCTGCTTCTGGTTTAGGGCTTCAGCTTCTCCTGTGGTCATGAAATGGCGTTGCTCCAAGGGTCTAAGAAGTCGGTCCTGAGTTGCACTGGCCTCCTGCAGAACACGCACAATCTCCCAATGGCCTCTGAGCGATGCCAGCTTGAGAGCTGTGTGGCAGTCGTCAGCGGCCTTCGTGCTTTTTGCGCCCAAGAGCAGTCGAACGATCTCCGTGTGGCCCCGTCGAGAGGCTCGAGCAAGCGGTGTTCTGCCTTGCCCTTTCAAGATATTCAAGCCTTTTTCCTCTTTTTCCTTCTCAGTGCCAGTCTCCAGCAGCAGCCGCACAATCTCCACATGTCCCCTGCTGGATGCCAGCTGAATGGCTGTGGTGATACCTTGTCCGCCTTGGCCATCGGTGTACTCGTCTGCACCAGCCTCGAGCAGTAGACGCACAATTTCAACGTGGCCTTCACGACAAGCCAGGCCAAGAGGTGTCTTGCGAAGACCTCCGACTCCTCCGACTCGACAGATCTTGTCCTTGTCGGCGCGGGCTTCGAGCAGCAAGCGAGCAACCTCGACATGACCTCGCTGCGCCGCAATGCCAAGAGGCGTTTCCAGAGCATTTGGCTGGGTCACATCCGGATGCTGGGCCCACCGCAACACCTCTTCAACCTTGGATACAAGATTGCTCTCCACGGCCGCAACCAGTTCGTCTGCATGCTCCTCTGCAAAAGGCAGCAAGATGAGCTGAAGGTCCATCGGAGACAACGTGGTATCGTCGCTCAAATCAATGTCCTTGCTTAGGAGTCTCTGCCTGAAGCGCGAAGCCCCGCACACACTCTGCAGCTTGTGCTTTAGACTCCGCACATCGCTCGCTTCTTCCACAGGGTACGTGGCCAGACAGTCGCCTGACACTGACCAAATGCGCAGCATCGTGGGTGAAACGCCAAGTCCTCTTGAAAAGAAGTTGGGCCTGTCCTAAATCAGATTCACTGTTGGGTTGCACATTGAGGAACCCTACATCCATGAGGGGACCCTAGTGTTTTAAACCACTTGACAACCACCGTTTGGAGCTCAAAAGTGAAGCCCGAGAAGGCTGCGCGGATGCCAAATGCTCTGGGAGTCACACTGGTCATATCTCAAGGTGCTGGTCCTTTTTGAGAACCCTAAACCCCACATGCGTCAGCATTCACGCTCGCCCCCCCCCCCCCATGGTCTGTGGTTCATAAAGGGTTTGTGATGGGTTTAGGGTTCAGGGTTAAGGAGTCAAGGTTGAGGTAACCCCCTGTACTTCGTGGTGGGTTTGAGGGTTTAGGGTTTACGCGTGTAGGGGTGAGATTTCCCCATCCCGCCCTGTGTTTCGGGGTACCATGGCAGGGGGGGGATGCCAAGATGGGGGGGGGAGAACACGGCCTGCACACCCTAACCCTGGACCTGAAACTACTCGGGGTCTGAAAAAAGCAAGGACCGGAAATGAGACCACGATTTGGAGAATCACTTCAGCCTGAGTCTGGTGGTCAGCTGCCGGACTTTCTGGAAGTGGGAGGTTTAGGGTGTATTTGAGACTCAGAGCTTAGGGCTCCCAGAAATTTCCCGCAATTAGGGCTCTACTAGGCTACCCTACAGGGGTGCTGAGGTGCACCGTCAGCTGCCCTCACCTCCCTTGTGCTCCCACAATAGAGGTCCGGGGGGGGGGGCGAATCGCACCTTAAAGGCAACAGAACCCTGAATACTCAACTTGGCCGAGCCTGAGCTTGGTGTGGTTGCTGGCAATGAGGAGGTCGGCTGCCATGGCCTTGGCGGGTTCAAGTTTAAAGTTTGAATTTTGGGCTTCAGGTTCTGGACATGGAGCTCCGTCATTCAAGGACATGTAACGCAAGCTGTCCGCGCACGTGCGCAGTAGTTGGGAGTGTTCGGAACCCGGTGTTCCCAACATAGGGGCGGGCGCGGAGTACTGACATGGTGCTTACAAAGCGCTTGCATATTGCTCACATTGTGTTCACCTGGTGCTTACATTGTGCTTACATGGTGCCTCAGCGGTGCTCACATATCGTTTATCGTTCTTATTATATGGTGCTTACATTCTGCTTGCGTGGTGTATGTATATATGTATATATGTATACACGTACATATGTATATATGTATATGTGTATATATGTGTATATGCATATGTATATGTGTATATTTAAACATATATATATATATCGAAATATCGTGCTTTCATGGCGCTTACATAGTATTCCCATGCTGTGCAATTCCCATATCGGTGATTTACACCAAGCAAGACAGCACGAGTGTGAAGTTTCCTTTGTACCCCTTGAAGCCTCCCCACCCTCAAGAAGGGGGTTCACATATCCTTTGAACCCTCGAAGGTGCCTTTTGAATTCCCTAAGCTCCCCAAAAAAACCCTCAATACAGAAGGAGTACATGTCGTAGAGGGTCCCCCCCCCCCCTCTCTTTCTCTTTTTAATCTCCCTTTTTGTTCATCTGTTTACACGGGCCGCCGACGGCCACCTCGTCCCAGGGAATGCCCTCAGCGCCGCCTCCCCAAGAGAGGAAGAGGAAAGGAAGAGGAGACTCTCTCTCTCTGTGTTTAGAACTCAAGGGGAACTCCGTGGAGCCGTTTTTTGGTAGCCTTGTTGGCAGGAAGGACATGTAATGATGAAGAGGAGGACTACAGTACAGGCGCCTCACCACCTGCACCCCTCATTTCCAGAGGACCCAATCCTAAACGCGTATCCCAAATGGCCCACACTTCACGTCATCTGCTTCGAGATCGGGGGGAAGGCCTCTGCCCAGCTGCTCCTTGGCGAGCTCCTGTCGACCAAAGCTAAACCCTAAAGTATACTGACCTAGCTGCTCTTCAACCTCTTAAAGGCCCTAAACTCTGAACCCTGAGTCTCCTCCACCAGCTCGCGCTGGTTCTGCGTCAGGCAGCGTAAGACCAGTCCTAGGCTAGCCTGGGAAAGGGGATGGTGGTCGAGACGGCCTAGCACCCATGAGAAAGGGAGCCTTTGTCACAAAGTGAGGGTCGTGCTCTGAACAGCGACGATTAGCTCTTCAGCATGTTTCTGTATCAAGACAAGTGCTCAACGACATTCAAAGGCACCCATGAGCAGCGCTTATATCAATGCATCCCAGAACCGACACAAAACAGTCGCCACCTCCTCGGGCCTCTGAAATACTCAACCCGATACCCCAAACCCACTTTATGGGAGGAGTTAGCCCTAACCCACAACACTCCCTAACCCACAGCACTCCCTAAACCCCAAACCCTAAACCCGAGACCCCCAAGTGCCCACCTTGGCCTGCTTTTTGGTGGCCAGAGGGTGTGAGCACGATGGCCTGGGGGACATCGCTTTGCAACCGCAGATCGCAGAAATGCGCTGAGTTCTCAACAAGCAGCGTGTAAACATACACCAAGCAGAATATATGTCTAGACATATGCACATTTACTTGCTGAGTGTGTATAAGTACAGGCACATGAATATGTATATGTATGTGAGTGTATATATGTATATGAATATACCCTTTACCCTAAGTTCCTTAAACCCGAAAAACCTCTACACCCCAAAACCCCGAGAACCCTACAAAAGCCCCCCCTTGACACAAGACCTTGGGGCTCCGAGCAGGCCGTCGGGGTACCTGCCCTTGAGTTCCACGTGGTAACCTCGGCTCTCCACAATGCTAGAAACCATCAAAAGCCCTGAAACGCCTTTGAAAGCAGGTTTCAAGCTTTGGGGCGTATAGGGTCTTCACAGTGGTTTTGGGTTTACGGTTAAGCAACTAAATTCAGCTCAGAACGCTCTCGCGGGTGTGCACCTCTTCGTAGGAGAACGTGAAGCCCTGGCTTTGGTGTTTGGAGCCACGACTTGGACTTGCGCTTTCAAACACCACGGCCTGCTCAACACCCTGCAGATTGAAACATCCTCCAAAGAACATCCCTGAGTGGCTTAGTGGCCAAGTGGACAAAAAACTTTCAAAGCCAGGCCCCAAGCAGCCTTTGCACTGCGACTGCCATGACTACCAGGTTCAATGCGGCACCTATTCCAAGACCAAAACCCTGCTGCTCCTTCATGTCAAGCCCTATGCCCCTATACCGGTGAGAGTGTTGCTGTTTTGTTGTGGGTGCTTCTTTGCTGTGGGCGCGGGGGCGCGTGATTTTTGCGGTGAGGGGGGGGGGGGGGGTTTTGGTTGTGTGGGTGGGCTAAAGGGGGGTAGAGGGGAGAGCAGTCTTACCATGTTTGCTCATCGTCATCGTAGTCGTCGTCGCCGCCGCCGTCTAGTAGCAGTAGCAGTAGCAGTAGCAGTAGCAGTAGCAGTAGCAGTAGCAGTAGCAGTAGCAGTAGTAGTAGCAGTAGTAGTAGGAGTAGTAGTAGTAGTAGTAGTAGTAGTCGTAGCAGTAGCAGTAGCAGTAGCAGCAGTAGTAGTAGTAGTAGTAGTAGTAGTAGTAGTAGTCGTAGTTGTAGTAGTAGTGGTGGTGGTAGTAGTAGTAGTAGTAGTAGTCGTAGTAGTAGTAGTAGTAGTAGTAGTAGTAGTAGTAGTCGTAGTCGTAGTCGTAGTAGTAGTCGTAGTTGTAGTAGAAGTGGTGGTGGTAGTAGTAGTAGTAGTAGTAGTAGTAGTAGTAGTAGTAGTCGTAGTAGTAGTAGTAGTAGTAGTAGTAGTAGTAGTAGTAGTAGTAGTAGTAGTGGTAGTGGTAGTAGTAGTAGTAGTAGTAGTAGTGAAAGTAGTAGTAGTAGTAGTAGCAGTAGAAGTAGCAGTAGCAGTTGCAGTAGTAATAGTAGAAGTAGTAGTAGTAGTCGTCGTCGTCGTCGTCGTCGTTGTTGTTGTTGTCGTCGTAGTAGTAGTAGTAGTAGTAGTAGTAGTAGTAGTAGTAGTAGTCGTCGTCGTAGTAGTAGTCGTAGTAGTAGGAGGAGGAGTAGAAATAAGTGTAGTAGTGGTCGTGGTCGTGGTCGTGGTCGTGGTCGTGGTCGTGGTCGTGGTCGTGGTCGTGGTCGTGGTCGTGGTCGTGGTCGTGGTCGTGGTCGTGGTCGTGGTCGTGGTCGTGGTCGTGGTCGTGGTCGTGGTCGTGGTCGTGGTCGTGGTCGTGGTCGTGGTCGTGGTCGTGGTCGCGGTGGTGGTAGTCGTCGTCGTCGTCGTAGGAGGAGGAGGAGGAGGAGTTGTAGGTGTAGTGTTGCAGGTGCTGGGGCGCTTTTTTGATGCAGGTGCAGACCAAGTTACTTATTAGGGGGTAGCTCCCCCACCAAAAAACAACACGGGTTCCCCACTATCCTCCAGAACCCCAAACCCGAAACCCCAAACCATAAAACCCTTAGCATCCTCAACCCTAAACACTCAACGCCCTTGGGCCATAAACCCTAAACCCAAACTACCCTAAACCCCTCAAACCCTGAACATTGAACCCGCCCCCACCCAGACACAGTTACACATGGAGAGCCGTGAGCCCCATCCTTGGCCGTACACGGATCCATCTCCAGGGCCGCGTCCGCAAAGATGTGGTCCACCTGGAGGGTTCGAGGTTTGGGGGCTTTGGGGGCTTATGGGGTTTAAGGGTTTTGGGGTGATAGGGTTTAGGGCGTTTAGGGGTTTGGGGTTTGGGTGGATTCAGGGTCTGGGCATTTTTTGTTTTTGGGTATGTACCTGGCACATGTCGAAGCTTGCAACTCATGAGGTCCTAAACCCCAACCCTTGCCTCCATTTTTGAGGGGGGTTCCCTTCCTTCGCATTTCCGACGCTCAAGGAGCTTCCCCGTGCTGGGGCCACAGCCGAAGCCACGAGCCAGATCTCCTGAAAGAAAAGGAGAGGGTTTTAGGGCATTTGAGGGTTTAGGCCCTTAGGGCTTAGGCCTTGGGATGTTGAGAGATGCTGCGAGATGTTGCGAGATGTTGGGGTTTAGGGGTCGGGCAGCCAGGAAAATTCGGAAAAACTGCAAGTGCACAGCTCGCACTTGGCCTTGGCGGCCACCAGAGCTGAAAGGGCGCTAAGATGTGCCGGCGGCAGGGCCTGCGCGAATTCAGGGGCTGACCTCCGGAGGGGGGTTTCCTCAGCACCCCTCAACATTCCTTCAGACAAGGTCTTCAGACCAAAGGCCGCCTCGAGGTTGTGGATGATGAGCGCGAGCGGGGCCTTGTCGGCAGCCGCGCGCCGGGCCTGCCGCAACCCGCCTTTCCCCTCCCCCCCTCCCCCCCGCAAGAAGAGCGACACCATCATTACTAGCAAAAGGCTACAGCAAAGCAGCAAAGCCCCTTCTCTGAAAGGCTCTCGGCTGAAAGGAGTGCCCCCGCCGCCAGCACGGCAGCGCAGAGGCGGGTCAGCGAGCCGCCGCCTCCGAGTTCTGCCACGCTTTGGGCTTCGCTTGGGCACATCCGGGATGTCACTGGATGTCTCAACTATAGGGGTCTCCCTCTCCGGGACACAGCCAAGCTTCAGCCAATGCGCTGAGGGTTCCAATGGCAAAGCCTCTCTGGTAACGCGCTTTTGCGGTGAGGCGCACCTTTCCATTCGAGATTCTCCAAGAGCTCCCGCAAGAAGGCAGCCAGGGAGGTGCCCTGTGAAGCAGCGGGCAAAAGCGTGCATCTCGGCAACATCAGAACATGGATCTCTCTGTTTGGGCGGTCTACTGGCGGTCCTTCCACGTGTTCTGCGACTTTCACATCGCCGCATGCTGCAATAGCGCTCTTCGCACACACGCGAGAGAGACCATTCACACTGGAAAATCTCCGGGACGGCCTTGTCGAAGGCCTGAAATGTGGCAATGGGGATCCCAGACTTGAAGAGGACCTCAGCACAAGGAAAGCTCAGCTTCTTTTCAGGTGCATCATATCATGCATCATCCCTCTCCGGTGCAAGATGGTGCAAAAGACCCCTCCAAGGAGCCATGACATGAAGGCGGCTGCAACTGGTTCTTAGTAGGACCCTGACTGAGCCTTGGGAGAGGGGGGGATGGAGGGGGGGGCAGGGGGGACTTTGTAGGGATATGATCCCAAAAGGGGAATCATAGGCGTAATCATCATAATCATCGGGGTGCTGCCTACCTCTTGGTTATTTTGCGAGCGGTGCCTGCCCAAAGCTCTCAAGCAGCCGGAACTTGGAGCCAACGCCCTGGCTTTCGCTTCGAGGCTTGCGGGCGTCCAGGGTATGGGGGGTGTTTAGGCTTTAGTTTAGGGTTCACAGTTTTAGGATGTAGGGCTGACAACTTCTCTAGGGCATGGGTTGTCAGGGCTCAAGGCTTTCAGTAAACTCCACAAGCACAATCACCCCAAAGCCCGAAACTCCAGAGGCGCTGCCGCCTCGAAGAGCAGAGAGAAGCCCTTCTCGAGGCGCTTTATCCAGAGCTCCTTCTTTCTGCACACTTCCGGGGTGTGACGAGGCCAAGCCTATGCATGCCTTCTTGTGTCTTCTGGCTTCTAGATTCTGCTGCCTTTTCTTGCATGTGCGTTTATAAGCCCTTTCCCGCTTGATCCCCTTTCCCTTTTGACCGCGGGGTTTCAAGGCCATGTCTGGGTTCCTTTGACGGTTGTAAGCTTCAAAAAAATCGCAGGCTGGGGCGACCCCAAAGTTTACATAAACCGGCGTGAGACGCGCGATCAATCCTTAGTAGAAACGGAGGCTTTAGCCCACAGGAGCCTTGCAAGCCCTGGCGGAAGAGCCCCTTAAACATTAGAGCACAAAAGGCACGGCCTTGTTCTCTGTGACCAGCGCATGGGCACCTCAGAGGGGAGGCTCAGAGCTGAGGCTGAGACCTGGGGGCCCCCCCCCACCTCTTTGGAAGAGCTCACAACCCGATCCCAATTCTACAGCCGAACCCTGTCTCTGAACCCAAGGACCAAGGGGCTTCTCTTCTGCTTGGCTCGTGCCAGGGCCTCCTGGCAGGCCTCGGCCTGCAGCTCAAGGGCTTCTGGTGTGTCACTACTCCTGGTGTGTGTGTGTGCGTGTGCATATATATATATATATATATATATATATCGATAGATAGATAGATTGATATATAGATATACATAGAAAGATATGGACGCTGATACCATGATACAAAGTCATGCATGTGTATATATATATATATAATGTACGTACTACTCTGGCGATGATGGATCAGTTCATCATGCCGTGGTTTATAGGCGGCATCTCCGCACCTGCCCGCCCAGGACCAGGAGCTTGGGGAGGATCTCGTCGGACGGGAGCCTGCGTCCGCCAGTGAGTCATCGACTAGTCGTAGGAGTCGTACTCGCAAGTAAACATAATTGTCAAAAAGAGAAAACAATGGTCATAACCATGACAAGAACAGTAAGGGTAGACTATGTCAGTTGATGCTACATTAGACCGCAAGCTCGAGCAGATGAGCCAGATATTAGTGGGGGGAGGTCTCGAAAAAAGCGCCGTCAAGGCCCTACGCCAGGACGAATCCCCATTTTGGGGATCCCATTACCGGAGCCCTACAAAAAGATCGCCTTGCTTCAAACCAAAGACGGCGGGGATTTCAAGATGCACGATCACCATGGCGCCTCGTCTTGGCTGGTGATAGGAAGAAGTCCTGGCAACTGCACGGCAAGCCTAACCTCTTACAGTCGCCAAGCGACAAGCGTACAACCTGCAAACCCTCCAGATCACTCTAGCAGCTGTTGCAAGTTCAAGAGCAGCCCTGAAGATGGGCCTCCGCGAACTCCTTCCGCAGCACCTCACAGGCAGCCTTCATCGCAATCGGAGTGCTCGTAGCGCCCTGGCAGCCGTAGGCCAGTGACCATGAATCTCCTTAACTTTTCAGACAGAACTCGAAACCCAGAGTGGCGACATTCGAAAGTACAGATCCGAGCCCATGTTGAAGCCAGAGCTGTGCGGAAGGACTCGTGTGTTCAGGAGGAACTAAGGCTTAGGGATGCTTAGGGTCTAGAGTCAGAAGCGAAACGCCACGCAGAAGCGAAACTTGGGCACGCCACCTCAAAATACTCTACAACTGATACCACTAGTACAGACAGCACTTCCTTCCGAGCCATACAGCATCAAGGTAGATCCGCAAGCTTCCCGACCTCTAAGCGGCAAAGGCGGCTGTCAAGCTTCCCAAACCCCATAAACCCACAAACCAAGATCCCCCAGGAGTCTTGGAGTCTTGGAGTCTTGGAGTGCCCACATCCGCCCGCTTCCTCGCCTCGCCGTCCGCTCCCTTCAGGCTTCTCCCTCAGACTGAAGAGATTCTGCATCGGGAGCCGTTCCAAAGATTGAAAAGGTATCCAGAGAAGGGACCCGGAGCTAGAAACACTGCCACAAATTGCACCCCTAGTCAAGGTGGTTGCAGCTTTTCGACGGTTATGTCGGGAAAAAGCGCTGCGGTGTCTCGCCATCACCCCCCAGATTCTCCAAGATGCCTGACCCTGGACCCTACACCCAAAGCTCTGAACTCCTATAACCCTCCACCCTGAACCCTGAAATCCTCAAACCTCCCCTTGAGCCCCTCGAACCCCATCCGGAACCCTGGGCGCTGAATAAATCCAAAATCAGGACAGCCCGGATTAGGGAGTTAATGTGTTGGGGCGGTTTAGGAAGGGTTTGGGGTCTGCGGGGTTAGAATGTTCAGTTGTAGAAATGGTGCTTGGGGTTCAGGCCGGGGCCCGGGCGTCGTTTCGGAGGCGTTTGGAAGTTCTGGGAGGGGCCTGCACAGGCCGCCAGTCTTCATGCGGGCAGGTGTCCCAAAACTCTTCCACTGCACGGGTAGGATGGTTTAGGGTCTAGGGTTCGTGCATGCGCAAGCTCAGCACCACCATGGCACGCTGAAATCATTGGAGTGCGATTCAGGTGCAAGGAAGGGAACACAACGACTCACTCTTCGGGCAGCCTATGCTCCCAAGGGCTCCTCGCACAAAGACTTCGCGCATCTTCGCGCACTCTCTGTGATCCGATGCGAACCCTATGGAACTTCCTACCAACAACGGAAGATCAATGCCGAGCCCCTGGCAGATGAGTTGCTTTGGAGGCTTTGCCGCATCCTTTGCAGACGGGACGACCTGCCCAACATGGCTTTAGGAAAGCACATGGACACGGGAAAGCCGTCTAGGCCAGGAGCAGCTGGCCTGAAGCGTTGGCATGGCCCAGCTAAGCGGAACACACGGCCGAATGCACAGCGGATGCACAACCGCAAAGGGCCCTACCCTTAAGAACGCGAACAGTGTAGCAACAGCATCATGTCTGAAACGATCTCGACTTTCAATATTCCAGCTGGCAGTGCCCGTGAAGCACAGACATTTGAGCCAGTGAGGTGCAGAGATCAACCAAATGGTCGGAAGATGTTGGAAAACTTTCCTCTGAAAACCAAGCCAACACATTTCTGACGCATTCCATAACACATTCTGACCATTTTCGCTGCACGATGCTGCACGTCTCGCCGTGGCGTCTCCCTTTCCCTACAGCATCCTCGTCGCGAGGGCCTCAGAGGCAGTCTTGATCACGCACGAAGACCGGCCGGACCGTTCAAGCCGCACGCATGTCCGCGTCCAAGGCGCACACAGCAAATCACGGTCTTCCCGCGTCCAGGCCGCACACACGTCTTGTTTTCATTGGTTTTTACCACTGTATTTTGAAGCTTTCGGATTCCGGAAACTTCGAAATGGCTGGCTGCCCAGGGCTTTCGGAGCGCGTGCAGCTTGGAAGTGCCGCGTGCAGCTTGGAAGTGCCGGGAAGTGCCGCGTGCAGCTTGGAAGTGGCTGGGTTTAGGATTAATTTCAAGGATCTTGGCACCCAAACGAGCCCCACGCTCGTTTGGGTGCCACGAGTCGGGTTTAGGGCGTAGGGCTTAGGGCTTAGGGCTTAGGGTTTAGGGTTTAGGGTTTAGGGTTTCGGGTTTCGGGTTTAGGGTTTAGGGGTTTAGGTTTTAGGGGGTTCTAGGGTTTAGGGTTTAGGGTTTAGGGCTTAAGGGGTTTTAGGTTTTAGGGTTTAGGGTTTATAGGGTTTAGGGGGTTTTAGGGGTTTAGGGTTTAGGGTTTAGGGTTTAGGCTTTAGGGGTTTAGGGTTTAGGGTTTAGGGTTTAGGGTTTAGGGTTAGGGGGTTTAGGGATTAGGGTTTAGGGTTCAGGGTTTGGGGTTTAGGGGGTTTTAGGGTTTAGGGTTTAGGGTTTACGGTTTACGGTTTAGGGTTTAGGGTTTAGGGTTTAGGGGGTTTTAGGGTTTAGGGTTTATAGGGTTTAGGGTTTAGGGTTTAGGGTTTAGGGTTTAGGGGGTTTTAGGGTTTAGGGTTTAGGGGTTTAGGGTTTAGGGGGTTTTAGGGTTTAGGATTTCGGGTTTAGGGTTTAGGGATTAGGGGGTTTTATAGGGTTTAGGGTTTAGGGTTTGGGGGGTTCTAGGGTTTAGGGTTTAGGGTTTAGGGTTAGGGTTTAGGGTTTAGGGTTTAGGGCTTAGGGCTTAGGGTTTAGGGTTTAGGGTTTAGGGTTTAGGGTTTAGGGTTTAGGGTTTAGGGTTTAGGGTTTTAGGGTGTGTAGAAGGGAAGCTCACTGGTGCTAAAAGCACCCGGGCCGCTCGCTTGCGTTAGCATGTAGTCCCACCCCAACCACCCAAACTATTCTCATTTAGGGTTTAGCGTTCAATTCCGGGGGCTTTCTTGCTTTTTGCCGAGAAAGAGCAGGGCGGGGTCTCCCGAGCTTCATGGAGCCTGTCAGTGGCTCGTAGGCTTCTTGGAGCCTTCACGGAGTAAAATGGAAGGTGCCCAAAACCGTCAATTGCAATACCAAAAACCCACATTTTCGGGCTTGAAAGGGCAGCAAAAACGGTCGGGGGTAGCAGGGCCTGCTTTTTCGATGCTAAAACAGAACATTGCAGGCGAGAGTCCCAAGCAGGGAGGGGGTCCCAGAAGAGTTCGGGAGGTTGCTACAAGGGTCGCAGGAAGGTCCCAGCAGGTTGGGGGGCGTCAGGGCGGTTTGGCTTCTGGGGGAACAAAAAACCAGAAATGCAGCAATTGTGAGGACATTTTCAGAGGCCCCAGAAGGTCCCAAAAAAGGCTCCAGACAGGGCCCAAGGCAGGTTCGGGGTCCCCATTACAAAAAAGGGCTGACGCCCAAGGTCTGAGGCGTAGCCAGTCACTGCCGTCTCGTCTACCGGGAGGCTTTACCCTCCCTCACCGTTCTGTGGAGACGCTCGGTCGGGGACCTCGGTCGAAGCCTCGAGCGCCCATGCATATGGACAGCGGCGCTCTCGGCAGCTTAGGGTTTAGGGTTTAGGGTTTAGGGTTTAGGGTTTAGGGTTTAGGGTTTAGGGTTTAGGGTTTAGGGTTTAGGGTTTAGGGTTTAGGGGGTTTAGGGTTTACGGGGTTTTTAGGGGTTTAGGGTTTAGGGTTTACAGGGTTTAGGTTTAGGGTTTAGGGTTTAGGGTTTAGGGTTTAGGGTTTAGGGTTAGGGTTGGGGTTTTTTAGGGTTTTAGGGTTTAGGGTTTAGGGTTTTTTTGGGTTTTAGGTTTAGGGGTTAAGGTTTAGGGTTTAGGGTTTAGGGTTTAGGGTTTAGGGTTTAGGGTTTAGGGTTTAGGGTTTAGGGTTTAGGGTTTAGGGTTTAGGGTTTAGGGTTTAGGGTTTAGGGTTTAGGGTTTAGGGTTTAGGGGGTTTTAGGGTTTAGGGTTTTGGGGGTTTTAGGGTTTAGGGTTTAGGGTTTAGGGAGCGTGATTTCCCAGGTGCGGCGCCTACAGAGCCTTCAGCCCCCTGGCACGGCCGGCAGGCCGTGTCAGGCATGAAAGTTGGGGGTGTTTGGGGGGGAACCTTAAGCTCTTTCGAGCTTGGATCGCCCAACTTTGCCCTCTCAAACAGACGATGCCGATACCATTGCTGCTCGAATGTGATTTGCATGGCCAAGCTCAGCATGGCTCACTGCAGATGATACAGATACGCATCGAGTAGTAGGTTTTTGAGAATCGCTTTGTACAGATTGGCGATACAGAAGAGACAGTCAGACAGACCAGCAGGCATCATTTGTTCTTCTTGTGTTGCTGTGCTGTGCTTAAAAGCTGTGTCTGCGCACCCCGCGAACTCGCGGGTCATGAGCCCAACGCTATAGACATGGCAACGGAAAGCGATTCTGATCTCGCAGGGGCCCTCGAAGAGGAGTTCCGTGAAGCGCAGGAGTCGCCGGACAGGACGGGGCACCCGTCACAGGAAGAGGAGGAATCCGAAGTTGATCCTCCTTATGATCGCCCAATCCCCACTGCAGTCGCTAGTGATGGCCGGTTGTTCGGGCTTGGCCCAGGGGCCCTGGATGCGCTGATGGTAGTGTCAGATGATGATCAAACCGCCGCGCGAGTCCAGGTGGAAAGTTCTCCTGATGGTGGGAGTGTGTCGACCAGGCGAGCCAAGACTGATGTTAGGGGGCGAGGACGTGGACCTGGTGGTGAAGAGGATGAGTTGATCCCGGACGGGGGAATGCGTTCCAGGCAGACAGAACCACGTGATAGCTCTGATGGTGCTACGACTGGTCAGCCTAGTCAAGTTCAGATCCTAGGCCAGGATATGATTGCCGAGATGTTTGGTCAAATGAGCACGATGATGCAGCAAACAATCCAGTGTCATGTTGTGCCTGCCTTGGACCGAATGATGGTTGAACAGGCGACAATGGCTTCAAGATTGGAAAGACTGGAACAAGAGCCTGGCCGCTCGGCAACTTCGCCTCAGGGCGTTGTTGGTGACGTAGCAAGCCAGATGGAAACGTTGAACCTGTCATCACAGGATGCGGTGAACTTGGATGCTCAGTCCAGAAACTCTGGTGGAGACAAGGTGGACATTGTCAAACCGACGATACACCGGATGGGAGACGCTAGCGCGGCCGAAGGCAGCAGACGGGCTGAGAGGGGGCAGGTGGTGGATCCGAGTACATCTAATCTGCCAGCCGTTCAGCCAGTGCCCGAAGGCCCTGCCATTGCTCCACAAGTCTTGGCTGGGGGGTTTACGGAGGTTGGGGGAGTTCGATATGCCTGGCGCGTTACGCAAGAAGGATTACAGCTAGTCCCACTTGAGCAGAGAGGGGAGACTGAGACGAGGGGGAGAGGGAGCGAGAGAGTCAGTGTGTTTGACCCTAGAGCTCTGTCACCTTTCCAGGCCACTAGCCCAGAGATCGAGTCGAGAACGCGTAACGTCGCTAAGGCCACTCCTCGTAGCCGTAGTAGTCCGAAACGGGCGCAGTCTTCGGGTTCTCCGGGTCAGTCAGGTACTCAGCGTCGCGATTTCAAGCCAGGTTCTGGTCCTCAGTCAGGTTCCGCGTTTGCTCGAAGTTCGCCATCGAGAGTCGCATCGGCTAAGATTGTCTATCCATGCTCACCTGGAGGAACAGAGATTAGGCCTCCGCCGCCAGCTCCCACGACCGTGCCTGCTGCGGGGTGTAGTCCGTCCTTCATAGCTACTGGGGGAGATTGGGGTAACCTGGGGTGGGCTACTACTAGCTCCCAACCACCTCCCATTCCTGAAGCTTTCAAGTCCTTGAGCGGCAAAGAGCATCCAGGGAGTAAGGGAGTTCCTGAAGAGCCAACCCGAGTATCTCTTGAGCTTCCGAAATTGGGCGCGTATGACCCATCCACTTCAGCTATAGTTGCCGGAGACTGGTTGGTGTCCCTGGTGCCCACTATGACATGTCTGTCGGCCACGGCTACTGAGTTTTGGGATGACGTCATGGATACCGCACGCGAGTATTACAGCCGTTGGCTAAACTCATCCCCGCTAGAGCGCTTGCATCTTCAAGTGGATAGCCTCGCTACTCGATATCGGGGTGGAAAGTACTCAAGAGTAGACCAACGCGCGGTGACTATGCTGATGTCGGCTGTGGGTTCAGAGCTAAAGGACGACATCATTTCTCTTAGATTGATGGGGTCCTGTGCTATAATCTTCAAGGTGATGTGCAAGTTCCAGCCTGGGGGCACCTCAGAAAAACAACAGCTCCTTTCGTACTTGGTAGGCCCTGATCAGGTTACTACAAGTGCAGGGGCAGTGAAGGCGCTCCGTAAGTGGAGGCGTTGGTTGGCTAGAGCCCTTGAGCTCAAGCTTTCCGTACCAGACCCTAGCCTTCAGGTCCGAGGGTTGGATTTGTTGGCTCCCCCACTATCCTCCACCGCAGCTTTCAGGATTCAGA